CTTGATTTACTCACATGAAAAGTTAATAATTAAAACATTTTGAAAATTATTGGTAACAATGTGTGAACATGTGAAGTTCTCGGTGGAAGATTGACTCAGTGACCATCCATGGAAAAACGAGATGTTTGTTTTAATGTGTGCCAGAGGAATATCTAAAACCTCGAAACATTTTGGAAGGTAGATACAGGTATGTCATTTGGGATACGTAGGTAAAAGTGCCTTGGAAAAATATAGGATTTAACCCTTGTGTGCAATAATGTGGCATGACAGTTGTCACAGCCAGGGGAATACTTGCTTATCAACCACAGAGCACAGCCAATCGGTGATGAGTGATGCCATGACACGAGCACAGCCAATCAGAGACCTTGGATGTGAAGGTCTGTGTGGAGGTATGCATGGAAATTAAAATTTTTGTTGTCCTTCCATTAGCAGACACCACATGAGTGATTGCTCTGCATTAATTTTGCGTGAATTCCTCTGAGAGTGAAGATGTGAGGGAAGACCGTAGGTGATCGAGGAAGTGTGTTCATGAACCTTCTAAGACAGTGGAAGAAAGTGTTAGGGAAGAAGAAAAGAAATTGGAATGAAACATTGGGCTTCCCTTAAGTGTGGCTGCCTAGCAAGTAGGTGAGGATACACCTCTTCTGGGCTTCTGAGTACAGTATTATATTAATACTTTCATAAATGTTTCTTGGTGTTTATTGAGCACTTATACTTGACTTTATGACTATATGGACACATGCTAAAAAACAATGTAAACAAACTATGTATCAACTCAATTATCTTGGCTCACAGTTTTGATGCATAAGTCAGTCTTCCACCGCTTGCCTCCTTTAAACGAGAATTTTTTTTTTAATTTCGTGTCTGGTATATTCATTGATATGGATGATATTTATGGTTCATATTTTTTCATAACTACTCTGTATATTTTTCATGTTTTAACCTATATAGATTAGTCTACATTCCAGTAATGGGGCCATATTCTTGTGTTTTTTTACATCTCATTATAGGGACCATATCCATATTAGTTAGAGATTTAGTCTTGATTGAAGAACAACAGACTACTGTCTTGTTGATAGGAATTAATGGAGTCAAATTTTAAAAACTAATGAAAGTCTCATGGCTCATACAAGTTCCAGCACAATAGTAGTAAACTGGACATTTTGATATTTAACACCTTATGTAAGGGTTACGTTCCAGGGATCCTTGCATAAGTGCGAATTCGCAAATAATTGGGTTCCCCCCCCCCCTCAATAATTTTCAGTACTTACCAGTAATAACATTGCAAGTGTTAGAGAATATTGAAGTTAGTGAAATAAGTAAACTTACAGTACTGTATTGAAAAAAAAAACTTAGTATTTTCAATGTTCTTTAGAAAAATTATGAAAATTGGCAAAAAAAAGTTTTACCTGAGGAATTTCTTCGTAGATCGAATCTTGGGATGATATTGATTTTTTCGTCACTTTGGATTTTTATAAAGCTAAGCTTCGTCAATCGAGTATTGCCTGTATTATGTGTATATTGATTTCATATGCTTAATAAATGTTCTGTCAGTGTAAAGCATTTGTCAGAAATGGCACCAGAATTTTTTTATTTTTTTATTTTACATACTGAATTTAAGTTTTGTGAATTTTGCAATTAATAATTTTTTTCCATATTACAGTAATTATATACTGCATAGTTATCCCAGATTTACAATCTCCCTATCAACGATATTTCGCTTTAACGATGATAATGTATTCAGAATCACCCCTTATTTAAAATAAACAAATTTGCATAAACGATGGCCATCGTCTGGCCATTGTGAAATATGGAACACATCTGTTAGTGCACTTGTCAACTGTGGTCTACCTGAGCGCCGCCACGCAGTGCAGTACAGTCCCAAGATTTGTTCCATGATGATCGCACATGGCTGTAATCATGTAGCTCAACAAATATCGATTGGTATCTGTTACTTATCTTTTTTTTCTTTTTTTTTTTTAACTTTACAGTGAGAGAACTTCACTGATGTTCATATTGTACTGTTTTGGTGAATGTGAAGTAAATTTTGCTGTGTTTTGTGACTAAAGTGCTTTTACTTTGTTGAGAGCATGGTGTGTCTCTGGAGGTGAAACTTGACATTATGAAGCTGCATGAGACTCCCCCAGAGGCTGTGTGGAAGTCAGAGTGACATTGCCACTCTACCTTCAAGAATCCCCATAGCTTCGATTGGGACATGTAATGATGACCAGGCTTTCACTTAATGATGTGGTGAGTGTTGTTTAATTGTGTTGTAGGTATATTATTGGTGTAGAAATTTTATTTTCAGTGACAAGTGGGTGTCGGACTGGCTGGGAACGTATCCCATTGAATTCCAAGTTAATAATGATTTCGATTTACAATATTTTCACCTGCGATGAGTTTTTCAGGAACGTAACCCCATCATAAATAGGTGGATATCTTACAGCACCATTAATAAAATGAGAAACTGTACCTTAGGAATTCCCTTTTGAATGGACTGCATTAGATTATTTATTATTGCACATTTTTTCTCACGTAATTTGCAATGCACATGCACAATTATTAATTATGGTACTGTATTACATTATTATTATTACTGTATAATTAATGATACAAAGTCACAAACTGCCCTATTTAAATAAAATTATACTTCAACCTTTTGTACCCAGCAATCAGTATATTGTAAGGAACAGGTGTGGATCAAAGGTTTTGAAATACAGTACCTTCAGGGGAGCACACTGAGAAACTGCACCACTGGTTATGATGCATTGTGAGGCCCAGCCTAGACATGTGGTTTTAATTTCTTAGTGGCACATCATCAGTTAGTCAAATCCTCTGCACTTGTATACATTTTGAGATGTTTTGCTTTCACTAGATGTAATTTTTGATGAGATTTTGTCTGAAGAAATGCTAAACTTATCCATTTAACATTGTATTGTTTCTGTTGACATCAGATACTGTGCACATCACTGTTTCCAGTCAAAATATTTCAAGTCAGAATCTTGCCACGGATTTATTTGTTGATCCTGTGAGCCATGATAACTAAAACACCACATGTAATTATTTTTAGCTTAGTTAACATTTCTTAATAAACAACATAATACTGTATGTTGCATTAAGTTTAATTGTCTTTATAAACTGACCAGGTCTGGTACAGGTAGCTCTGAGAAAAATCTTTACAAATACATGGGACAAAAATACTTTTTTTTTATAACTGGATTTTCATAAACAAGTTCTTCGTAAGTCAGAGAGTCCTGGGTTTAATTCCTGGACAAAGTGAAACTATGGGCAAGTTTCTTTACGTCTTTCTTTCGTGTACTATTCCTTGACACTCGGTCATCAACTCTTTAACCTAGGGTGTGGTCGTTGTGTTGGCGACAGCTTCTACACCTTAAACAAATTCACACCTAGGTGGCTTTAGCCTGGACATCTTCGAACATGAGGGGCAACTGTACTGTATACAGTATATGTATACAGTACTGTATATCCCTTGATATACAAAGGGTTTGCATTCCTGGAAAGCCACAAGTTAAGTGTATGAATGGTAGAGCCTGTATATTCTTATGGATTACTTTGGAAAATGTTGGTCAACTGGAGGAATTCCTAACAAAGCGTTCACCACTCTATGTCCTCTAAAAATAATGATAGAGAAAAATATTAAAAATTTGTGTTTTTCTTTTACCATTATTACTAAGGACAAACTTTATCAATTACTGTTGGCCCTTCACTGTCTTCATGACACTTGATCACTTCTAACTTAGTTTTTAGGTTAAGTGTTGTGCCTTATGTTGGCCAGGAATCTTTTTTCATATTCATAAGGCCTGTGTGAAAGAACAGGGAGGAGAAATGTAGATGCAGTGAAAGAAAACCATGCAATATTGGAGTGAGGGGAATTTTTTCCCATTGATTGAATTAGTATACTGTACAAGGTTGAGGTATAGTTTTTATAGTAGCTCAGTTTGTATCCAAAACTTGAAAATCAGTTTCTTATATGGACTATACAGTACTGTACTTATTTGTTAGCTAAGGCTGTTGTACTTTGTTTTATGTTTCAACTCTTCCACGATGTTTCATGTACAGGTACAGTACAGTAGACAAACCAGATTGCTTTGTTTCCTTTTTTACCAATGTTTTAAAATAAAATTATTGTCAATTTTGACTTTTGTTAAAAACATCCCAAAAATTCATATTGTGTATGCCATTCATAGAATGAAATAATTAAAACTTCATACAGCATTTTTTGGTCTGTATGGACAGTTTTTCACTTGGTGGTGAGGCTGGTGACGTATGAAAGTCAATAAATGGCATTTTGCAATTTGAATTGACTGTTGTAAAACATGAACTAACAAATATAACAACAAATAACATAGGAGACACATACTTTGAGTTCGAGCAGTCACTTTGACACTCAACACAGTGAATCCTCCAACTTAAAGTATATGTCTCCTACATACATTCAGGTCAAAATATGGTGTATTTATTAAAAAAAAAAAAATAAAAAAATCATTGCACAATTCATGATAATAATTTGTGACGAATGTTCATAAGACTCTCAGGTCTAGTGCCAAAACTAGCCACTTAAAGTTAAATGCTAATTCAGACTTGAGAAAGTTGGTAACAAATATAAACAAACTTTATGAGTACAATATAAGACATAAAATCAGTATTACTTGCGTAATAGCTAAAACTGCTGTAATTCTTGCCAATCATGCTCAAAGTTTCTTAAAAAGGCACAAAACTAACTTTTACAGAAATAATGCTACCCAGGAAGAGCCAGTCTGTGTGTAGACCCTGTCATTGTTGTCAAAATCTCATAAGTTGTTAATTATTCTTCCCAAGGGTTGCTTCCAAAAGACAAGTGACAAACCATACAAACTTATGTACTGTATACTTACATTAGTACAGTATCTTGATTTCTGATATCTGTACAGAGAAAGAGGACTTTACCTTAACAACCCTCTTTAAATGTGGGGATATGGTTTGGTCAAGAAAACCCAATATTTGGTAGAGGTTTATTAGCATAAATGATGGATTGACCCAGAAATCACATTTTATGATAAAGCCTAAAGCCAGGCAGCCCAGGTAATATACAGTTCACCAAACCCATAGGTTTTGGACCCAGGTATTCCTGGGATTAATGATTCGGTAACTAACCTTACAATTGGTCACAGACCAGTCAAATTATTAAAATCCAGGAATTATATTATACTTAATTAGTTGGTGACTAATAATAAGGTTTATTACTCAGCCATGAATCCCAGGACTACCTGGGGTCTGAATCAGTGAATTTAGCAAACTGTACATTACATGAGCTGCTTGGCTGAAAGGCATGTCATCATAAACTAAATGATGCTGGTCATTACATTTCAATTAAGTTGCTGCTAGGATAAATCTTAGGTTTCCACAATGACTGGAGCATCTTCCCCTTCATCCTCTAAATTAAGATCCCACTTAAACTTACGAGTCACATGAGTTTTAAAACGCTGAGCTTTCTTCACTAATGCTGGTGGAAGAGAGTTAGAATTGTCACTCATATTGGCAAATAGAGCTGTCAGAGCTGCTGCCAGGAAGTTGTTGCTCTCTACAATGTCAACAAAAAGATCTTCTGGGACCTGTCAATCAAACAATATAAATTACTTTATATAAAACCCTAAAACAAGAAAAAATTTACATCATATTAAAAGGGGACATCATCACTCAGTTGATAAAATGTAACTCCCTACCCTGGAGACAGGAGTACAATCCCATGGAGTGGGAAGGTTGCATTTGATAAAAGAACTTAGTGCATGATGTAATATCCTTAAACTGATTAAGTTACAAGGAAAATTCAGACAAATCAAAGGAGTTATAGATTAATGTATTTTAGGTTTTTGAGTACAGTATATTTATTGGAACTGGTGGCTTACCTCATGAATCTGAAAATGTAATATAGAAAGAAACTTGGTGTACAGTTCTGGATACTGCATCAAAAGTTCTTCTGCACGACATAGTGCTGACAAAAGGCGCTGCCACTGCTCCCATCCATCCCAAACTTGACCCACTAAAAAACTTATGAAAGCCAACTGCAATTCTGATAACATACTCTCAGGTCTGAAAAGAAAGATAAATAAGTAATTAACCCATGTGCATTTAACTGGGCTGCATCATTTTCACTCTAAACATCCAAAAGGATGTTAGGAACACAAAGTAGGAATTAAATCATATATCAGTGTTACCAGTAAGTGTTTTTGTGAATAAGCAAAGAGGAATTTCATTCATACTGTTGGGAACTTTTACTAAATTCTTAGTGGGTTAAGTCAGAAGAACATTATGTATTAGAGTACTTAGCATGAACATCCAAGTGTATAATGTAACAGAAAAGGTCCTCTCTTCTGGTTGTAGAAAAAAAGGATAGTTTGAGCTCTATGGTATCTACCATTGAAGTATGCAAAGTGTTTTTTAATAAATACTTTGTAAATGTTTAAATATTAGAACTTAACAAGCAACCAAACACAATATCCAACTATTTAAATGAGGTAGAACAAATGTACCAAATTTAAGAATGAAGAAACTGATCCTGAAGTCTAATTTTATAGCCAAGACCAGAGTGGGTGACTCATGTTGACAGTAAACCTCAACCTACTTCAGTAGAACCCATATTTCACCTTCAATGGGCAGCCATGTGCTATAAACAGCCACCTATAATTCAGGTCTTTCCAAAGGGTTCCTCAAGAAATAGCTGCTTTCACTCAAAACAAATGGGATATTAAATCAAGAAGCAGGTGCACATCACACTGCTCGCTTGTCTCAGACAATAGCATGTGACCATGAACTGACCCTTTACAATTCTAGAGGAGGGAGAACTCTTAGATAGTCTTAACTATAAAAAAGGGGATTTCAGGATCAATCCTGGCAATAAGAAGGGCATTCAGCTGTAAAACTTGCCTCAAATTTGTCTGATGGCGACTAGGACACCATGTCAAAAGGTAATCATGGCTAACTCATGCAAGCCAGAAAAATGGCAGTGATGATGATGATTCCTCCTTTTATGGCCCTGATCCCCATTATATAAAGTCAACTAGATAATGGGAAGAGATGGAAAAGAGAGCCCCAAGCATTATGCTTATTTGTAATCTAATATGAAAAATTATCTAATAACTGTAGCAGTATCTATAAGAGAAACGATTAACTTTAAAAGATTTCCCATTGCCATGTAACCTATTGTAAAATCTAAAAGGTAAAGAGGCATTTCATGGGAACCTCAGATGACAACTTTGACCCTCTATGCAGCACCACTGGAGTCATCAATCTCCTCAAAGCAAGACCATTAAAATCAACCCCGAGGTTGTGAGTTCCTGTTGTAAATAATAAGCTCAACTAAGTTTGTAATTTTGCAACTGACAAAAAGCAGTGGTACAAGCCTACAACACAAATTGTTAGTCTATCAGCACATTGGATATCAATAAATAACTTACCGATTAGCTTTGGCTATCATTTGTCTGACACTGTAGGAGGAATCTAAGCTATATTGTGTCACTTCACTTGGTGTTGCACCATCATGGTAAGGCCGATCTGGGAATTTACTAAAACGAAACTGTGTGCCTGCTTTTGGAATCATCTCTGGTAGAACTGGAATTGGTTCTTCTTCCTTGGGTATATCTGAACACAATATTATTATTTCTGAACTTGAATCAGTATTATGTTTGTTGCTAGTTGATGTGCTTGACTGCAGGGCCAGGTTACTTAATTCTCCACTAGCAGCTGATTGATCACTAGAGCTTGCTGATGACATGGTTTCAGCTGCAACTGTGCCATCACTTTTAGATTGTTTTCCAGTCCTTTGCCATGAATTTCCTGATGCCAGCTCAATTACAGAACATATTCTGCCTGCAAATTGAAAAGTGTGGGGCACATTAACACTACTTACTGAGCACATCTCATGAAATTATTTTAGTCTTTTCAAGTATTGCCTAATAAGGCTTAAACAATTTATCCCAGTTCCACATTATCTTTTTCCTGATATAGCAACAACAAATGCTTCTCTTTCCCCCTTCATTAACACATACCTTTTCCAGCTTATTACAAACATCAAATACCAGGTAACTATAAGAAGTGAAATCTCATATTTTTTTTATTCAGTATTTGAAGGAAATATCTATATTATTTACTATTTAGGAATCAATGTGGTGTGATTTCCTTTCCTTTTCAAGGTTACATAAACGAGAATAAAAAAAAATGGGTAAAATGTGAATGAAAAACTATTGTTAGTAAAGCTCAGTCTCAGCTGGTTCACAATGTCTGTAGGTAATCTTATGACCTCAGATATTTAGTCACTAATATATAAAAAGGTCATAAAGCATCTTCAGGTCACCTACACATAAAGTTTCCTGGACAAATTATGTATCAACTTTTGAAGATACTATAGTATGACCTCAATTTATGCAGAGATAAGCTGAATTTGTGCAAAATTATATTAAGTTCTCATAAAAGAAAAAGGAGTTGTATTCCTTGATATCAAAAACAAATTGTTATCCAATTTTATCATGAAAGTTTTTCAAACAAATGATACATACACAGTTCAACCCCCAATTTTTCTTCTGAACATGCTAAACACAATTATATGGATAATAAACATAATTAGATACTGTACAACCAAAGACAAAATCTCTCCTGGTTCAACCACAGATGGTGATTCTGATAAACTAGCTGACTGAAGGCCAAGAGACAAGTGTTTAAGCTGTTACTCTTTTAAGCATGTGCCCCATGACCTAAGGAAGCACTGAGAGGAACCCCAGGCTAAGCATCTCCATCCCCAACTCAATAGTATCCCTAGGTGGATAGGAGGGGAGGATCTGAGTTGTCAAATCCATGCTTGTTATGAAATGGGATTCCAGAATCAATCCCTCATTTATAACTGACAATTGATCATGTAACTCATGTACATTTAAATTTGCCAGTCATGACTTCTAAGCATCAGCTTCACTTGCACCTTTTAACCCAAGATCCAGGGTAAAGAACAACACAAGCTCCAAGGTATCTCACAGAACAACTATGTAAGGGCATCATCCACACACCCTGGAAAAAATCTAATGCCCATACTCTCTTTATGACGCAGGATGTGCAGTGACTGAATGGCCCAGGATTTGTCAAGTTTCCATCCATCCATGGCAGATGTACCTTATAATTCCCCTTTCTTAATGGTGATAACTGTTGAGGGGAAGTAGGCTAACCTCTGGATTAGACCCGAGCTACCTTAGTTTGGAAATTCCCCGAGCCAAACCTGGATGCCTTTGCAGCACAGCATGCATGAGTTATTTTAAGATTGTGTCAGGTTATTAAATGGGATTTCATGAGTCAATCCTCCATTAATAAATCCCAAGAGTTACTTATATGTATGGGTCTTGAATATTTCACTCCTTTGCCTGACTTACTCACCTGATTCTGGTAACATTCTTTGTAATTCCCCCGAGTCAATATACTGTGTCAAAGATATCCATTTCTCCCATGATTCTAGGGGATATGCACCAAGATGTCGGTCCAAATCACGCAGTCCAGCACGGATCCTTTCCACTTCTTCTGGATCTACATCTGGGGGAAGAATAACTTAGAATGTATCTGAGTGATGTACAAGTATGTGGCAATATATTTTTTAGATGAAAAATCACATCATCTGGTAATGAAAATTTAGTCTGGAATAGTAAAAGGAATAAGACTGTACAGTGGGGTATGCTATAACGAATGTAATTGGTTCCAGAACCTCGTTCGTTATAGCATTCGTTCGTTATAGGATTAATCCGTTCCAGGCCCCCAAATACAACCACTTAACACTGAAAAAATTCTGTGGAAAATGTAAAAAATATGGTACTTTATCTTACCTTAGTGTTATTCAGCATGCAGGTACCCCTAAACACTGGCACATCACTATCACTTCCACTGGGAGTCTTGGCTTTAAGGTCCTCAAACAATTGTCTGGCCTTCTCACAAATTATAGCTTCACTAATGTTACCACCTGCCATTTCTTTCTCCTTTATCCACACTAAGAGTAAATTTTCCATCTCTTCAATCACATTACACTTTGCTTTGCTAAGTCTAAAGATTCCCTTAGCCACTTGCACAGTTTTTAACTCCTCTTTATTCTTCAAAATCGTACATATAGTCGATTTAGCCATCCCATATTCATCACTAAGTTTCGCAATGCTTCTTCCATTCTCACGTTTCTTTATAATTTCTTTCTTAGTTTCAAGGGTTATTAGCTTTCTCACTCGCTTTGGACGACTCATTGTTACAATTGTATACTTGTATAACAAAATAGTTATACAAATAACGCGAATTTCCACATCAAAAGACGAAATTTCAACAATAACAGTGGTGCACTGGCTACACAATGAGACAAAGATGGCGCCTGACGCTCTTGTTGTGGGTCACGGTACAACAATATTCATGCGCCAGGCGAAATAGTCCCGTATTCATCCGCGTTCGTTGTAGGAGTTGCGTTCGTTATAGCATTCTCAATTTTATAGGTAAAACCGTTCGTTATAGCATTCTCAATTTTATAGGTAAAACCGTTCGTTATAGGAATATTCGTAGCAGGATCCGTTCGTTATAGCATACCCCACTGTATGTGTTTTAGAAAGTTGAACTTTATGAAGGTGTCTTGACTTCTGATCAAATATGAATCTTAAGAAAAGGAGATTGTAATAAAATATGCAAGTATAGTATTCAAATCACAAATTGAAACCCTTAGGTCCTGGTTTTCGTACCACAGACTTCATGATTAAACAGTTGCATGATCCAGATGAAAGTTTATAAACACAAAATATGTTAGCTTACCTTCCATTTTTAAGTCCTCATCTTTTGGATCATAATGACGCACTAGTACCTCCCTGTGTTGGAAAACATGGAAAAATCCTGTCCTTGGTGCTGTATCTCCTTGGCGACTGACAGCACTGCAAGGGAGAAGAGAGCACAAATGGTTATTCATATTACAGTAGAAATTTAACAATTAATGCAGGACTGTTTAATACAAAACAATTAGGTATACAATATTAACTACTTCAGATTAATAAATCTACTGTATAACTGTACTGTTTCTGTCTACACCTTGCCTACACTCCCAATGTGTGGGGGATTCAAAGGAAATAGAAATCTCAAGACAAGGAAATGATGAGGGAAAGTGGTGTAAGAAAAGAATTTTTGAAAAAATAGAGACAGACAGCAATATATCAAGCACCTACTAATCAAAATTTCATAATCTGTAAGTACTAATGTGGCAGCACTGGAGACAACAGAAATTAAGGGCATAAATTATGACTATCGTACCAATACTAACCTAAAATATATAAAATGGAGACCTGGTGGAATCATCTTCACCCCTTTAAATCTTTCACCAATATTCCATGAATTCAAGTCAATGCCAAATTCAGTTCCTGTTGGCATACCCAGCATGACCAGTGTTCCACCTTCCTCAAACATCTGCTGAGCCAAATCTGGATCCATGATTCTTCCTTCTGAAAGGGAAAAAGATGAATAAGAGAAAATGCACCATCTCACCTGACACCATATTGGGGCCGGTCCGACTAATTACCCAAATGTACCCAAATGTAGCCAAATATAGCCGGAATGAAGTCAAATAATGGTCCTAGATGAATAAATCGGACTGCTAATCACTTCTCCACAAGTATTTGGTGTCAGAAAGTCACAAAAAATTGGAAAACTTACTTTAATCTGAGTTAATAGATCGCGTGCATGTACCGACGGAGCGAGGAATTACCCAAATGTAGCCGCAATGAAGTCAAATGATGGTCGTACAAGCGTAATTCGGGCTGTGAATCACTTCTCGATTATTATTTGGTGTCATAAAGTCAAAAAAAATTGGTAAACTTAATTTAATCTGAGTTGTGTTGTGTTAGGTTAGGTTAGATTAGATTAGATTAGGTTAGGTTAGGTACATGCACTTGATCTATTAACTCAGATTAAATTAAGTTTACCAATTTTTTTTGACTTCGTGACACCAAATACTAGTCGAGGTTAGGTTAGGTTAGGTACATGCACTCGATCTATTAACTCAGATTAAATTAAGTTTACCAATTTTTTGTGACTTTGTGACACCAAATACTAGTGGAGAAGTGATTGGCAGTCCGATTTATTCATCTAGGACCATTATTTGACTTCATTCCGGCTATATTTGGCTACATTTGGGTAATTAGTCGGACCATATTGGGGCTTTAGATTCTTAGAAAACCCAAGATGTATTTTAATTAGTATAATCTAATAAGAAAGTCGTTCAGATATTTAGACAGTCCCTCGTAACGTTCTTCAAGAGTGAGGTGGTTCCCCATCTGGTCCCCGAGATATGCCAGAGACTGCCAGTTGATCAAAAATGTCCAAAGGAGGACCACCAGATTGGTGCCTGCACTATGGCACCTTAGTTTTCCAGAGGGAGGTTTGTAGCCTGCAATTGCCTAGCTTATAGTATATATGGGAAAGGGGTGAAGAAAAAGTAAAATAAGAATTTAACTTCTATGAACATAACCCCAAACACCACTATTTCAGTGCAGCTCATCAAATACCATTGGAAAAACATATTTTTAATATCCAAAAAAAGAACGGTGCTTTTCTAAAAATTTACCCATTTTACCCTAGTGTTTCCCCTTGACTTGCACTGTATGTACAGTACAATACAACATTACAAACATTCTGATAAAAATGTCGATAACATATTATTATCAATGTGGTGTAATCTTGAGCATTTGTCCTTTATTCTCCTAACCTTCTATACGTTTGTGGTTTAGTTAAATCAAGTTGAGCCACATGTGTTGGCTACTGCATGTGAGGATTTATACCAACCAGTCAGTCACTCTACCTCAAACACTCTTTGTTTACGTTTACACAAGTATAATACACATGAGAAACTATTTTAAATTGTTATAAATCTAATCCTAATATCATGATGGCTTATTTTGTGCTTCCATCTTTTGGCGAGAATAATAATAGTAGAATTTTTTTGTTTAGAGAAAACAAAATAACTTCATGGCAAACGTAAACATTTTGTTAGTTGTTGCATTGCTTTATAATTTAATTTAATTAATCCTTTATTATTCAGGTAGTGTATGTCTGTATAGACTTCTCGGATAGCAATTACCATTATAAATTTTGTCATAGATGTACTCAAATGACTAAAAAGAAGGAAGGTTGATCGAGGGTTGGGACAAGGGACACGTCGGTGGCGGCGGGCACCAACTCGGACGAGTTAGTTGACGTAAACAACTTTGGGTGGTTGAGGCTGACCGTCACGTATCTGTCATCTGGTGATATTCCTGAGGTTAATATTCCCTTATTTAATAACCATCATTTATTGTGTTAAGTAACTCTCCAAACAGTATAACTCGTGGTTGTTGTGCCCGTGGGTGATGGACTTTTGTTGACCCGGGTATCTGTTTTGCTTAAATAAGTCATAGTTAAATATTAATATTTTTAGGTAAATCAAAATTGCTCAGTATTATCGGTAAACGTTTACTTAAGTGCTGTGAGCGATTTGGCCAGCAAAAACATTTTTTTCCTGCATGAATTTTGCTGACCGGTATTATTTTACTTTAGAACATAGTGAGCCCCAAAGTTATAAACTACTGAAACATTTAGATCTCCCTATTCTGAGCATTATGAACCCAATTTATACTAGTCGGAAATGGAAAATAGCGACACAATTGAATTTAATTAATTCTATGTACGTACTTTTCAGTCTTCGTCTGTAAAGAGATGTTATCTGTGTGAAACAGAGTTAATTATGCATCACGCATGCGCAATATTGACTGATGTCATCCAGTTGTGACCAATGATGTGTCGATATCATCACGCGATTTTTTTCGACCAGTCATATTTGAATTTTTTCAAAGGAAGCAGCCTGGGTACGGATTTGAATTTCAATGACCAGTCTGACAGTGGCCGTGGTGGAGGTTGGGTGTGATTTGTGCTCCTACGATTATTTTAAGTTTATTGCTTAGTTTTACGAGAAAGACGGTCATTCTATCCACTTCTAACTAAAGTACATGGCGTGCCCCAAAGTTTTAAACTACTGAAGCAGTAAGGTTAGGTTCGGTTAAGTTAGGTTAGGTTAGATGACTCGTTTTCGTGTTCTCCCCCGTACAAAAACCCTGATTTCCCAGGCTATCCCCCATTATTGTTGAGGGGGGACAAAACGAGCAATTTCCGACAAAAATGAAGGTCATATTCTTTTAAACCACACCAAATTACACTGGAAAAACATATTGGTCAACCCTTAGGGACTCATGCCCTAAAGTAAAAAATTTACTACCTGACCTAACCCCCAGCCCACTTCACCCCCCTTGAACCCCCTAGGTGGTTATATAATGTTGTCAGTGTTTAACTTGCCCTTATTTAACCTAACGTAATGTATTCCCCTATAGGGGAAATGCTATCTTTTCAGAGTTGGTTTGTGTATTTTGTAGCATGGTAATGCGATTCAGACGACCCGCGCACTATACACTTCCCCTCCCAAGGCTCTCTGACGGGCTCGCTGATGATATTACTAAAGTATAAATTATAAAAAAGAAACACTTTCCCAAAAGATAAAACTGTCACTAGCACTTAACAAGAAAAGTTTTGGTGGAAAAACAGTATGTTCTTGCTAGAATCGTTGGCAGCATTAATCTACACATTAACTGTATTATCATCCTACAATATCACGTTGGTTCTGCATGTAAGTAGGTAGTACATGTATACAAGTTATATAAGGACATTTCTCTGCGAACCAGCAAATGTATGAAAATTTTATGTACACTGTACTATAGAAATCAGTAATAGTTTGCAACAGTGTGCATTGTTATGAGCCACTTTAGGAAAAAGTCTATCGAAGAAAAATTGTTTCTTACCTTTCAAATATCAATTCAAGTTTGAAGGAATTGCAACTTTCCTACTTTTGTTTTTCTATAATATTCTTACTGGAAAATTTATCGTGGGTGTTATCATCGCTGTCATATTTAGGGTTAAACTGTTGATGTGCTTGCCAGCGACGGGATCCTATCACTAAGCAACCTTCCCAGCACACTTTCCATACGAACTTTAAATTGATTGATTGAAAACGTCCAAAGGAAGACCACCAGAATAGTGCCTGTGGTACAGCACCTCAGTTACCCAGAGAGATTAGAATGCCTGCAGTTGCCTAGTTAATAGTACATGTATTGGCGGGCAAGAAGTGACATAATAGAACTTTGCAAACACCTCAGAGGGCATTACTCAGTCGAGTACTCATACCTGGAACTGGTGGATTCCCGTCTCACTTGGGGTCACAGGTTAACCTATTGGTTACTGATGGGAAAGTGTGGTGGCATAATTAAAGCCTAAGTAAATCATCTGGTAGAGACAGTTAAAGGAAAGTTATCCCTTTGAAACCCCCACATACAGTACTGTATTGTACTAAGATAGCTTATACTGTACTGCTTTACTTGCATTTTGGGCAATTATTTTCATGTACTTTCCAGCATTTTGTTAATTCCACATAAACTGTATTAATAAAAAAATTTGGGGGGTAATTTTCTCCACTTCCTGATTATTCATTAGCTACGTTCAAGAAACATTTACAGTACAGTACAGGGGGTCCCGACTTACAAATGCCTGCCGATATGAAAGAGGTTAAACTTTAAATTTACAGTATTTTTTTACCTGATGATTTTTTTTTCATTTACTGTATATTGTCATTTTATTTCTTCTTTTCTCTTAAATTATGTAATTTTAGATGCATATAAGGACTTAGGCTATGATATACCGTAGTGGGATTTTAAAGAGTTCTGTAAGAACAGTATGCACATAGCATGTGTTTCAACTCACATACATTTTCAACTTAAGAACGTCCTCAGGAACGGAACCCGTTCGTAACCCCTGTATGTACTATCCTCAAGGCCTCATAATTTTTTAAGTGCAGAACTGTACTTCCTTTTTCATATTTTATAATTCTGTATTGACTAACTTACAACCTTTGTTTCTTTTACAGATAGTCATGGAGCCTGCAAGGGAAGAGTCATTGTTATTCAAATATGCAAAGATTACATCAGTTGTGTGCCTCTACTGGTAAGCACTACAATATATACTGTACTTTTACCCCTTTACTATGGGGATGCCTCTTTTAATATTTTATTTGGCCCATGGCAGATGATTTTGTTCAGCTTAAGGGAGCCTGTACACAAGTGGTTAATTGTACGGAAATTAAATATTATTAAGCCACCTAATAAAAAATGTTTTGCATAATTAAATTTCTTGCACTTAACTTCCTTGATTCTGACAGAAAGGAAGAGTCTAAACTGTCTATTTCCTGTGTCTGTAGACTTCCAGTGATCACTGTGGGATTCTGGTAAAATGGGAAAAATTATATACAGGTACAGGTATTCCTCACTTTACGAACGTTCAAGATACAAAAATTCGCTGATACAAATTTTCTATTCTTACACTTTTTTCTTATTTTATGAAAGCTATTCTTGCTTAGACGAATGTACAAGGCAATGTTTCAAATACTGTACAGTATATATTTTATTGATTTTATAATGTCTAAACTCACCTATGGTGATAGCCAAAATAAGGTGCCTCAAGGCTACACTGCCCTCTATGCAGTTAAAATACACTTTGATAGGGCTGTAGGTTATTGTATTAGCAGCTTGAAACTTTCTTTTTTCTGTACTAAAAGTGAGCATGTTGGCTGATCATTCTTTAGCTTCTGGTATGAAAATATAAAGGTTTTATGACACGTTTAATTGAAAATATTATTTTACTTCTTACAAAAGTTTATTTTACCTGTATACATTACTGTCTTGTGTCAGAAATACTGTGATATTGTTTTTAATGCAGTACAGTATGACAATTTTTCTGTTTCAGTTCTCATTTAGAGGAATTTAGTTTTAAAGTTGTCATGTCAGCATGACTGATTGCCTATTAAATATTTGGCGATGGTAAAATTATTTTGTACGCAGGTATTACTGTAATAATAATCTTTAATGGTGTGAGGTGCTCGGTCTTAAATTAGAATGTATGTACTGTATTGTACAGTATCAAGTTAGTTATTTAAATTTTTCTAACTTTATACTGTATTCATGTGGATTTGATGCAGTGTCTTTGCTATCAAGAATGCTCACAATGTGTGCAGTGCCAGACTTTACCTGTGAAATAATCAGCACTAGTATGTATATCTTGCGGACCTTTTCCTCATTTTCTTGGTCATAAAATGGAATTACAATTTTTTTTTTTTACGGGGATTAGCCCACCCGGGCACGGGTCAGTGACCCACATCAGGGCCTGGAGGGCGAAAATATAATAATAATAATAATAATAATAATAATAACTAACAAAATCTAATAAAAACAAAATAAAAATAAATAATAGCCCATTCTTCCATTTTCACCAACATATATTTCACACATGTTGCCAGTACACAAGAAGAGAATCTGTCACTCATCTGCAGGCATTGTAGAAATAAAATGTACAAAGAATAATAAATAATTTATTTGTAAAGAAAATTGCCTGCCAATGCCAAACCCAATTCTGTTATAAATTACCTTTGCTAATTTCAGTACAGTAAAATATGTACTTTTCTTTACAGGACAGTGTCTATATCACTGGTGTTTGTGAACAAGACACTGCTGGGTGGTTCATCTATGGGGGAAAGAGATGCCCCATTGTTTGTTACCTGGTTCCAGTGTGTAGTCACTACAGTGTCATGTCTCTCTCTCTCATGCTTCACTAAAGTATTTCCTCACGTGGTTACCTTTCCTGAAGTTGGAAGCTTAGAGCGGACAAAAGCTAAGAAGGTAAATTGGCATGTGTTCTCTATATTTTTGTTCATAACTGCATATATATTGTAATCATGTTTTATTTATATAAACACTTACATATTTGTTTTGTTACCCTGTTTCCTATATAGTACCCCACACCCTTTTATTGGTGTCCTTTTGTAGAAGGATTCTTATAGTCATGTGTGTCCCTTTCAGATTTTTTTCATAAACTTTTCATCGAACACCTAAAACATTTGCATTTGTACTGTAGATTATCTGATGTACTTGTGGCCAACCCGACTCTCACACCCTCTCTCCCTACATCCTCACTTGCCCTATGACCTCCTCCTACAGGTCCCCAGCCGTTAGCAACACCTCTTCCCACCCTGACCAGATATCCCTCCTCCTAGTGACAGGCCTGGCACTTGACATTATTAGGGACCTGCCACGCTTTGCCATAAACAGATGAAATGTACCGGGAACTTTCCCCCCACACACTCATCATTCTGTCACTTTATGTAACTTGCTGACAAAACCTATGACCCTTCAGGCTTCTACGCCTTTAATGCATGAGTCATAAAGGCAAGCATAGACTTAGCATGCTTCCCAGATGGGCGCTGTAAATACTTCTGCGCTTCACCTTGCACAGGATGTAAGGGGGTGCCCAGTAAACTAGCCCCCTCGGGGGCAATCTAAACAAAAATCTATCTGATGTACAAATTTTTTTTAAGTAAGGAAAAGGGAAACAATATGTCATTACTGTGTCTAGAGAGATGTCTTTCTCCTTTTGGTAAGTTAAATCTCATCATTCACTGTATAGAGTACAGTATGGTACTGTTCTGTACTTTGTTTCTTAACTTACAAAATTCATTGTGTAACTCATCATCATGTTTGTTTCATTTAAACTTACAAACAAGTTGATCTCTGTGTCTGATTGATTCCAATGTCTCTTTAGTCATCCAGGGTTCAGTCCTAGCTTTATTCTAATCAACTTTAACTGCTACATCATCAAGAACTCCAGTAAAGGTAGTTTTGAACTTCTCCGATGTCTCGATAATTCATGCAGCTTGTCACAGGTGATCAATCAATATATTTAAGTTTGTTCAAGAACACTTCTTTATTGTAATTCTTGATTTACTGTATTTTGATTACTTTGTGGTGTCATTATTTATGTATAATATGTTTTGTTGTTTATGAACCAAATTAATTTTTTTAGTTACTGTATTATAGAGTATTGTTTTATATTTTTTATTTTACCGGTTTATCATCAACCTCCTTCAGACCGCATGTCTGGCACACCATTTCCTTTGTGTGCAGTTGAAGTGCAGTGCTCTCCCTTTATCTGTGTGCATTTTAGCCATCCTTTCATGGTTCTGTTCTCAATGGTACCCAAGCGTTGTGTTAATTGAAAACAAACTTGAATTAATGACGCCATGAATGTGGGAGGGCTCTAGCCGGTTGCACTATTTTTAGGTATATAGTAGTTCTGGGGTTTTCTTGTAGTTATGTACTAAATTACAGTAGTTAGGTAGGTTTTTTGTTGTTCATAAACTGATTTAATTTTCGGTATACTATTGGGGTTTTCTTGTTTGTGGGAACCAAATCCTTTTTCCCCATTTGGATCTGTTATTTGCTATCCCCAAATTTAATATGTGAATGGTGTTCAAGGAGCCTAACCCATTTGGATAATGAGGGATACTTGTACTATGTGTGATCATGCATTTCTTTTTATAACAGAAGTACCTCTCAGGCATCTTTGCTTATAGTGCGTAGTCTTTAGGGGTTAAAAACCCAGGATATGGATCTCTGATGTGACTGACTGGTGCTGTATAGACATGTCTGTTCATTTAGCTAATTTAGAAAATTAATCTTTGATTCATATAATCATTCCTTACTAATACCCTGAGGCCCAAATGGTGATAACATTTAGACATTGGCATGATTAAATTTTCTCATTTGTTTTTCAGTTTGGTAGGACAGGGATTTCTTAGGTTATGAAGTTCAATAGAACACAAAGCAGCATCTTATCAAGGGGTAACTGTGTTTATTTATAATCTTCTATTTTCCAATTAAATAATTATACATTTGGGTTTGTTCTTACGCTCCTTATTGTTTTTTAAAATCAAATTAATTTAGGGGGAATTTTTACAGCACATGTGTGAAAATGCAGAAACATTTTGAAATTGTTTTTCTTTACTTTGTTCACAGGTCTTACCTTTGACTTGTGTATTTGTAGCAATGATCTCCATGAACAATTTATCCTTGAAATATATGGGTGTAGCTTTCTACTTTGTTGGTCGTTCGCTGACAACAGTCTTCAATGTCACCTTTACATATTTGATTTTGGGTGAGTTGATTATTTTAATGTTTCCAATTTTAAAAAAATTATATTTTATGTCAAGGACCATTTTTTTTTAATTGTTACTCTCTTTAGTGCCAACAATTTATTTGTCCTGTTTACTTCAAACTAGATGACTATTACATTCTTAGAACTTGTGTTTTTTTAAATTTTCCATTCTTGATGCCGTTTGTCAGGTTCACTTTGTTCTATATTTTCCAAAGTGCTGTTTGTTGGAAAAGCATAACATTTTATTTGCATAGAATATATAACAAAGTTTTTACTGATATCCATCAGAAGCAACATGTATAATTGTTAATTAAAATTTGTTAAGAAATTTCTTGGGTACTTGTCTTTAGATTGACAGTAACAAGGATTCTATAAGCCTTTATGAAATGTAAGGATGCAGCAAGAGTGATTGAACTGAACCTTATTTATGAAAGATCAACACATACAGTACAAGGAGTAACTTATTGTTTTCAAGGCCACCTAATTAATAGAGGCTAAAAAGATTTACTGTGGCACATAGAAATAACAAGGAGGCAGAAAATTTAAAATATCTCCCAAATTCAGTTAGATGTTGACTATATTAATGATTCTTAGTGCTGTATGTAGTTGTTTAAAACTGAACCCTTTGTATGAGGTATAAGGACTTTGTATTTAACCTTATTCAACCATTCTCAGTAGGTGGATATAGCCTGATAGGAGCACTGAGTTGGATCCAAAATACATTACACTGTAGGAAAGGATGCCAATGAAGCTACCAGCACTAAATGTGCCCTGTTTCAAAGCTAATTTATTTTGGTTTACATTTGAAAAGTTATCTTTAATCTAGAGGTCCATAAAATTATGGAAGTACAGTAGTCTTTTTTTTATCCTATAAACTTATAAATTAAAAATGGAAAATGCTTGTTGGCAATAGTAATGTACAGAGTAAACTCAAGTAAACATTTTTCTTATATGTACGCAGTCTCCCTTACTAGAAAGCAAAAACAATACAGTACTTAAGTTATTCAAAGAGTTGGACATAATGTTTAGAAGGTAAATGTATACTGTATATGCAATAAGTGTGTTCAGTTGTCTTGTGGTGTAGGAAATAAAAGATGAGACAAAAGATACCAACTTCATATGTTTTGGTGATTGGTTTTGCTTTTAAGAGCATTATCTGGATCAAATTAAGAGGATACTGGACGAAGGATATGCTTGACTTGTCATACAAAATTAGATTGACTTTCAAAGATGAAATTAAGCAGAATGTGACACATTGTTATTTATTTATTTATTTATTTATTTTACATCTCTAACTTTCTAATACTTTATTTTGTCCCCTTCTTATAGGCCAGGTGACATCCATGTCTGCCATTTTATGCTGTGCTGTCATCATTGGAGGTTTCTGGTTGGGTGTTGACCAAGAGAATGTTGCAGGTATGTAGGTTCTCTTACACAGAGCCACTGTATAAAGTTTTATGGCTGTTAGCTGTCTCAGATAGGTTTGGTGGTTCAGTGGCTGTATTTTTAATAGGTTTGAATTTAGAAATGCCACCTTTCTTTGGGAGGGGAATTTTAGAGAAATTAACTGCTTCAAGTGTGAGGCAGGGAGAGTCTTATTATGACCCAACCCATGGTACCCTTTTTTGGGGGTGATTTATTTATGCTTGCTTCAGTACTGTGCTTCTCCCTTGGTAGAACTAGACGTCAGCAAGTATAGTGAGAGAATGAAGTACATCACAGAATGGTTGAGCTATCTGACACACATATGTGGAGCCCATAAACAGTTGGCAGACTCTGGAACCTTGGAAAGAGGTTGCCAGTGACACCATTCACTGTTTTGGGTAGTCAGATTTCATTAAACTTTGGCTAAAGCTGGAAAGGTCATAAAATGGGACTTGATTCTGCGAATTTTCTTTAGGAGCAACTTTAAAACTCACAAGGTGTCTCAGCTATGCTTAACCTTGCCTCTAAGGAGTCCAGTAATCTTCATTAAACTTATCTTGTTTTCCAGGATCACTGTCTCTTCTGGGAGTATCATTTGGATTTCTCTCTGCAGCTTTTGTCTCTCTCAATGCAATATACACTAAAAGAGTAAGTATATTTTTTTCCAGTTTATTATAGCTATTATTCATTTCTTTAATAATTATGTCCCAGAACTATAATCTATTCACTCAAACCTTCCAACTGAGGCTAAGGGTCAGATTGTAGCAAGGCAACTGCTTGGATGGCAGACGGACTCGGGGAAAGTCACTACAGTTCTTTATTATTTAATCTTGTAATTATATTCTGATATTTTTAGCGATAATAACTATTCTTTGTTGATATCTGATAGTTTCCACACTTGGGGAAGCAGAAATTAGCATGTGTAATGCTTTGGTAATATAAGTTCCTTAAGGAGAACATGAAAAAGATTACAGTAAAAATTTCAGCGACATACTGTACTCCACCTTGCTGTGTGACATAATGTAGCAAGACAGAATTTGTTCATCGTGTTCGTGTTCTTTTTATGATATTTTTCTTACCCGAGCGTTTCACATACAGTACTGATTTTTGCTTCCCCAAGTGCGGAAATTATCGGAGATAAACACAGAAGAGTTATTATCCCTTAAAATATTGTAGTATAAATGTGATAGATTAAATAATAAAGAACTGTCATGATTTCCCGTGTGTCCGTCTGCCAACCTATCAGATGCCTTGCTATAACTGACCTTAGGCCTCAGTTGTAAGGTTCGAGTGATCAGACTATAGTTCTGGGATATAAGAGAATTGTGTATGCTGCTCTACCAGTGATATATCCCTCATGTTGAACACAGTTACTTTTTAAAAGAAGATCACTTTTTAAAAGAGATGTCCATATTTTCTGGTATTCGCCCTTAAGCAAATTTCCATATCGAAACTAAATCAGTTCAAGGCTATCACTTCTCTGTTACCGTAGCTCCTTTTTAGCCTAGTAGGATTTGGTTTTCTCTCTCAGCCATATCCAGTTTATATTCACATTCCTTCTTTAAGTCAGAGAGTACAGAGATATCTGGTTATAGACCCTGGTACTGTACTTGATGGATTTTCTAGGTTTCTCTGTTTTAATTTTGATGAAGATTTAGTTTGAGTAATATTTTGGGAGTAAAATTTCCTAGACTTGAGATTAGTTTTTTATTTATTTCACCAACTGGAATTGTTGGTAAAAGACACTCACACACATGCGGATGATACAGTATAAGTATACTTCCAAGCACGCTTGCTCGCTCACTTACCCACTCACTAAGCATATACAGGTTATATGTGTGCTCTCTCTCTCTCTCAAGCAAAAAGTATAAACAGAGTATATTTATGCTGAGATTATACAGTAGTACTGAATAACATAAATTTGCATAATGGTACAGTCTCGTTCAAAATTCTTCGAACACTGCTGGAGACAGCTGGCAACCCAAAGATGTTTGTTTGCTATAGCACATAGTATAATATAATACGAAACAACAAAGCCCATCCATTAAATTAAGCAACGGGGAACTAAGTAACCAATCACTGATCACTTTTGCATTTACTCATAGTTTTTACTACGTACTATAGTAAACAAACGGCTTTGAGTTGCCAGCTGTCTCCAGCAGTGTTCAAAGAATCTTAAACGAGACTGTACCATAAACCATACTCTGTACCTGTATTAGATATATTTAGGTTACCTGAGTTTATGGTACTCTTAGAACCAAAGCACTTATGTAAATAATGTGAATTTATATAATACAGTAGTACTATATTCCAGAAAGCAAAAGGCATACATTAAGTTGCTTCTCACAATAAAGTTCACTATTTTAGATTGTTGCAACTGACTGACTGTAAAAACTATGGACTGAATTTATGTCCTGCATTATTTCTTCAACACAGGTCCTGCCCACTCTGGATGGTTCTATATGGGTTCTCTGTTATTACAACAATGTCATGGCTTCCGTACTTTTCCTGCCACTAATTGTCTTCAATGGAGAATTGTATGCTGCTTACCTGATGGTTACTGAAGGCAGTCTACACTTCTGGGGTCTGATGGTTGTTGGAGGATTTTGTGGCTTTGCTATGGGGTATGTCGCTGGTCTCCAAATTCAGGTAATGTTCAAATTATTATATTGTACAGTATTATTGGTAATACTGTATATACATAATGTTTGTGAGATCTGAGGTCCTGATGGTACAGGTGAATCTTGAAAAGGTACTGACCCAGGAGATAATTGCTTTTAAGAGAGAGCAGGATGTAATATGCAGTGCTTGGAGGTGAGACAAATCCACCCTAGCCTTAACTGGTCTCAGTCTGATCAGATCTAATGTTAGTTTGGGGTTAACCAGATTTGCTCATGGATTAAGTTTGGATGAGCTTGAAGACTCTGATAGAATGCCCAAGTAGGCAGTTAATCTTTAGCTGTTTATTATCAAAAGCACAAACCTCTTGATTATCCAAACTTGAAAATGCTTTGCATGTCTCATAAAACAATGAGTGAAATCGTGTATAAGACTACAGGTATTACTAAGGTATTTGTGATGCCCTCCAAGATTACCTCATGTAATGTATCTAACTAGGGTGTACAGGGTGCAGCCCATAACACCTATAATTTAGACATCTAGATTTAATCCATTGATTAGTAATACCCTCTATTGCAGCCATCACCCTGAAAGATGGAGAATAGAAGCAGCAGTTACCACTGAAAGCTTAGGGGTACAGACAGTCCTCACTGTACAAGAGATACATGCCACAGAAGTCGTGTGTAAAGCAAAAAAGTCATATAGTAAAAGTAATATTCCCTTAGACATACCCGGTAGTGTTATAATAGCTCAGTAAATCAGTACAGAATATCACTATTGGTAAATGTATAATTAAATTTATGCTCACAGGAAATAATTTAAACAGGAAAAAAGTCCATATAGATATTGTGGGGATATTTTTACTCATTTGCAGTATTGTTCATATCACTCATGAACCTTCTCATTGGTTTCCTTCACAGAGGAAAGGACATACCTCCTAACTAAAAGGTCCCATTATAATGAGCTGAACAATGAACACATGTTAATACTACTGAGTTGTAAGGTTATGAGTCTGTTGCTTGTTTACCCATTAAGTACATAATGTAAATAGAGATGAAGACAATGTATCCCACGGAGAAATAATCCTGAGCCATATTTCATATTACTATACAGTATACTTTATTAAGATTTATATTTTGTTGTTTCCATATTGTGTTACCTGGTCAAACAGCAATGAAAATAAACTTGAATATTTTATGTGGAAATGTGTTAATATAGAGAGACCCACATAATACAAAAGGCAGTTTTATCTTTACTCGTCTCTTTGATGTAAATTTTTTCATATATATTTTTTTTTAATAAGGGTTGCTATAGTTCCACATCATTCTTTAAGCAGTTGTGTACAATTCCTTATCCCAAGTGTTTCGTCTTGAGATTAAGTATGAAAGCAAGATTCTTGAAATAACTTAAACATTAAATAAAAGCTCATCATGCAGTGTTTCTAGCAAGGTTGTAATGTCTTCAACTCTTCAAAAGAGTCAGAGGTTGAAATATTTGATAAGGGTTGCCTAGTCACTACCTTTTGGTTGTGGTCAAATACCTGTAATGTAGATAAAAGTAATGAAGGCCTTTATGAAATTAATCTTTGTAAATTCTATTTCTAAAATTTATGTACTTGATATGATATCTGCCTGTTTGATTTTAACAATGTTTTTTACCTTTATTCTGCAATTTACCTTGATTTCCTTTGCAGGTTACATCTCCACTCACCCATAATATCAGTGGGACAGCCAAGGCATGTGCCCAGACGGTGTTGGCAACATGGTGGTATGCTGAGTCGAAGGCAGTACTCTGGTGGCTGAGCAACTGGGTAGTGTTAGGGGGATCCTTAGCATACACATACATCAAGCAGCTTGAAATGAGAGCGACTCACAATGCTCCAAAACCACTTCAGTCGGGTAAAGAGAAAATTTGAAAGTAGGGATCGTAGTGGTTAAAGAGTTAATTATTGATGCTTTATAGACCTGTGATTTAAAATGCAGCACTCTTTTATAATATCTGATAAAGATTCTCTGATTGAAGACTAGATAGGACTGTGGAAATAGCTTAGAAATAGGTATAATTTCCACAGCAGTACAAAGTATTTTGTAAGAGAATTAACTTGTTCTGTCTTGTTTCTGCATTTCTCAGGGACAAAATAAATCACTTCTGTGCACTGCTTTTTCACCCTTGATTTGACTTTACTATGTAATATATGCACAAGGTTGCAAATTTTGTTATTTTTGCTTCACTCAGGACGTACAAATGTGGTGTGTGTGTGATTGAATGATATTTTATTTATTTACCCCCAAGAATACAGTAAAACTTTGAGTTGAAATTTATGACAAAATGCAATTTTTATTCCTACTTTAATTGGTTCCTTTAATAAATAATTAGTTTTATATACTGTATTTAATAAGTAAAGAGCATAGTCTATTTATTTAAAATGAGATTGTTCAGAGGAAGGTTAGTGCAGATATTCCATGATAAAATTATTGTTATACATGAGGTTGAGGACTGTGTATATTCAACAAAATGGGTATTGAACACAATATTTACAATCATGAGCATTTAGTCTTCCAGTCTTAATTTTTAATGATGTTTAAGGGAGGTTCTTTTTCCCCCCCAGCTATGGTAAGGTTCGATTCAGAAAATTATGTACAGTACAAAGATGGTTACAGGTCAAAATAGACCCCAATGTAACCTAAATTTTAGTGTTTGAAGACATGAGGATAAGGGCACACAAGGATTGGAGCTCATTAAGACTGGAGCTTATTAGGACTGGGGCCCAATCTTAACCTCACTCTGTCATATATGATCTATATATTTGTCAAATCAAAACACAACTGTTCCATCATTTCTGGCACTTTATACGCATCAAGTTCAGTTATGTGGCACATAACACTTACAGTATGCTCACCAAATTATACGAAGATTATCATTTGTATCTTTTTTCTTTATGTTTCTCTTCAGTAGGGTTATAGTGTACCTAACGCATAAATTTATAATAATTTAGATATTGTACTGGGCATTTAAAAAAATTGTGGGGAATATAAAATTTGTGTGAACATTGAACAGGTTGTGTGGAGTCAGACAAGGTGAGTCACCTGTGTAGTAAATTGGATGTAAAATTGAAAGAACATTATGCCACTGTTCTCATGCATATTGTACTTCATAATCATGATTTATTTCATAATACTACAGTATATATACTGTATTGGTATACCTGTATCAACATCTCACACTGTCTAAAACCTCTAAAAGGGCATATCACAATGCTGTATCTATCATGGTCCTGCCATCATTTCTGCTTATTTTTTACAAGATATCCATAAGTTTACTGGAGTTTATCCTAATCTTTTTATGTTTCATTGATTATAACTTATAACAGTGTATAATATGTACTGTAGGTGCACTCTGTATTTGTAATGCTTTCTTCTCTTTCAAAACTGACAGATTATTTCTTTTATATTTTACTTTGTCAGCTGTTCTTATTGTACATAATTTACATTCCACTGATTTTCTTGATGCCTCATACGTACACCCAGTAAAAGAAGTATCTTAGGAGAGGTCTGGTGAATTTTGAACTGAACAATCCTTTTGGCTCACTACCGATCTGAGGTATACCTCATGGGCCTTTATCAAAAAACCTTCTTTTGTGGTGTCATTTTGTTTCACACAAAATTATAAAGATACTATTTTTACCAAGTGTACATATTTGTACTGTACTGTACTGTCTATAGTTATAGGTTATAATCTCTTACATGTGCATACTCAAATTGCCCTCATACTGTACAACATTTTCTGGTTTCCATTCCTCGATTTCTTGCTTCATAAAAATAAATACTTTTATTTATAATAATGTCTTTACAGTTACATGGCAGAATTTGGGTAAAGTTTGGATAGAAGAAAGGTATAGACAGGTAATAATAAGATTTTATTTTTAGTGTAATGGGATGTAATGTAAATGGTATAACTTGTATTACTGGCAAGTCAACCATAACACAATATAAAGATAAATGACTAAGAGTAATATTTGGGTTTAAAGTTAATATTGAAGTTTTATTTATTATTACAGTGGTCCCTCGGTTAACGAACACAATTCGTTCCAGAAGGTCGTTCATTAACCAAAAATTTCGTTAACTGAAACCATTGTTTCAATGGGATTTTGAGTAATTGGTTCCAGCTCACCGAAAATTACATACAAAGTAAAATAAAAATGCAGTAAAGTACACTTACTTTGAGGTGTGTATGTAGAAGGCTCCTGATTGATGATGATGATGATGGGAATTAGAAGTGGGGTTGGAGGAGAAGGGAGAAGAAAAATCATCCCATGCTTGATGCTGTCATTTCACCCATAAAATTTTAAGTTCACTAGGTGCAATTCAAGATTATTTTCTTTAAATCAACATTGCACTGCACTATATATTGTCAATATGTTAAATAAATTTCAGAATGACCAATAATTGTACTGTAAAAACGTAAAAATACTTTGTGTTCAAGAGACCCACAAACAAGATGTTTCCTCCACTGCCCAGAGATACAAACTGAGGCCTTGGTGGGTGAGTGAAGTGGCTGATGGGCACACCAAAAACTAGTTCCCTGCACTGCAATTATGTTAAATAAGTGCTAAAATGACTAAAAAATTTAATATAAAACTTGGAAAATTATTGAATAGCACAACCTTCTTGATATTTACTCCAATTTTAACGAATGTAAGCCCTAGAACTGATTTCTGTATTGGCGGACTAATCTTCCAGCTGGTGAGCAAGCCAAAGCATGCCAAAACATTTTCGTAAGAATTTCGTTAACCAAATTTTTGTTCGTTAAGAAAGGTAATTCGTTAACCGAGGCGTTCGTTAACCGCGGGACCACTGTATTAGTGTTTATCATTCATCATAATAAATTTCCTTATGACTAAATATACAGTAAACACATACTGGTCAGGAAGACCAGTGCCATGCACTTAGGATCACTTTTTAGCATTACTTTATACAGTACAGTACAGTACTACAATATATAGTTAGCCTAGTTTTGACTAGGAATTGACTATCAAAAGCTGGGTGATAATACTGTACTACCTGCAAGTCATATACTGTAGTTTGATATATACAGTACAGTATTAATTGTGAAAGAATGGAGCTATTTTATAAGTGAACGAAAATAATCAAAGAAGATTTACAGTACCGTACAACACTTATCTTAAGGAAATATTAGTGAAGAAAAAAGATGTGAGAAAGTAGAAGAATGCACAGAGGTTGAAGTCTCTTGGAACAGTCAATAGTGACAAAGTGTTCAAGATGTGTAGAAGCATTCATACTTTTTTTTCACTTGAGACGAGCTAAGATTATACATGGATTTATTGATTCTTTTGTAAGACTGTAAAAAAACTCTGATCATAATTACAAGTCAGCTGGTTTTATTTATTGTTGTTAAATCATAATTTCCGATCCATGTCTTTGAGTGTAGATTGTAATAGTCCGTGGCAGTTAATGATGTATTCTTTTCAGCATTACTGTAGCATTATTTTTGGTGCTCCTTTGTAATTCTGTCAAATGGTCAGTAGGTGTAAAGGAGTACATGCTGCTTTATCTTTTAGCAATCTTTTTATCTATTAGTTAGGGGATGATAGTTAACTTTGTTGTGAATGATAGTTTACTTTGTTGTGAATGATACAGTTTACTTTGTTGTGAGTCTGTATTGATTTATAAATATTCTACTGCATATAAATCATTTAACTGATTTATATATGATGAGGATTTTGTGTGAATGATATGTTGTCTGTATGTACCTGTATGAACCATAACGCCAGCAAAATGTTCTCAAGTTTATAGTGATCACTCGGCATCATGTCTTACAGAAGTATTGAGAGGGTCAACAGTATGACTGAATTGTTTGCTGAAGGATTCTAATTTTTAAAACAAAACAGGAATACATTTTAGTTTTTGATGCAGGTAGTCCCCAATTTATGGAGGTTCGATTTACGAAAATCCGAAGTTGCAAAAAAAAAAGTCCCATACGTGTGTGTGTGTGTGTGTGTGTATATATATATATATATATATATATATATATATATATATATATATATATATATATATATATATATATATATATATATATATATATATATATATATATATATATATATATATATATATATTGAAGTATATATTGATACAATACATTTCATACTTTAGGTATTCACTGATTTCAATTCATGTACGTCAGCCTCAGGATACATACGTAATATCTAATTGGTGAAAACAGTGAAACATCCTGGGTCATCTCAGGTCTAGATGTCCCAGCTTTGTAAAACAGAACTTAACCTGGAATTTATTTATTTTTAATTTCATGTTTATGGGGCTCTCTGTAATAACATTATGTTTTGCTTCCAATCGCATTTGTGAATAAAGTTTCCCCTGCATTGTGTTGATGTACTGTGTGGAGTTTACCATAATTAAACTTAAATTTAAAAGTAATTTCTTAAATGTATCATCAAGAAATGCCATAAATATTTTATTAAATTTGAAAAGGGCTGTGGTAGATTTCCAAATTAAAAGGATGTACAGGTACCAGTAAGCCCCAATTGTCCTCGACTTTTCATAAGAGGTTCTCTAAAATTGAAATTTTATTTACTGTATGTAAATTTTATAAGAAACTAATGCAATTATGACATGATGTTCGCTTAAATATACCGGTAGTGTTCTTAGTCATGTCTCGGTTAAATAGTAAGAATAGCTAATAGCTAGTTTAAGTAGGTTATCTTTTCAATTCCTCTTTCAAAACATCATTTAAGTTGTCAGAAAGAACACTTTCATATTTACGGTCTTGTTTATTTGATTTATAGATCTTTAGGCGTATGTCCTGAGAGAAGAATGGTAGGATACCCTATCCTGGTAAGGAGGAAATGTGAAGATTTTTTATATTAATTTTGCATGTGTTGTGTGTTTTTAAATGTGTTTTTGTATTATTATATGTACTGTTCCTAATAAAGCTATTTTCTCTCATCAGCATGATATACTGTAGTTAGCCATTATTATTGGAAAATAAACCCCTGTTACATTTTAGCCGTGAGTATCAAAGTTTATTTTTCGCTGTAAACTAATTTTTGAGGAGTAAATTTTTATGTTTTGGCAGGATTCTTTGTCTATGGCAGGTCAGCAAAGCCAACAGTTTATTATGAACACTTCAGCTGTACAGAACATCTAAAGTAGGGTGAAAGTTTTCTTTCTTTCAGTCTTTCTCTGTCAAGAGCAAGTCTTAGGCTAAGTTTGAAGCAGTGTCTGAGTTGAAATCATATAAGTGTGGAGTTATCAGGTAGTACTGTATTATATATCCAATGTCATAATGATTAAATTAATTCATCATAATTGCATTTGATGGTTGCATGACCTGAAGGGTATTGCATCTCCTTATACTTTGGTATGTACTACAGTAGCTTGTTTCCCAATTTCATCTCACAGAGAAGGACCTAGGTATTGGCTAAGAACTTCATTAGCATATCCTCAGGGCTATGCACAGTTTCGTTCAAGATTCTTCAAACACTGCTGGAGACAGCTGGCAACTCAAGGCCCTTTGTTTACTATAGTACGTAGTCAAAATTATGAATGAATGCAAAAGTGATCGGTGATTGGCTACTTAGTTCCCCGTTGCTTAATTAATGGTTGGGCTTTGTTGTTTCGTATTATATTGTACTACGTACTACAGTAAACAAACGGCCTTGAGTTGCCAGCTGTCTCCAGCAGTGTTCAAAGAATCTTGAACGAGACTGTACCTCTAGGGCATTTGTAAGGTTAGTTTCTTTCATCGTATCCAGTACTGCCCATTTAGTAGACAACTCTGCTGCCATACTACCACCTACAATACAACTTTATGCCACTGCCCACATAGCCACTCATGCCTTATGCCACAATCCTCAACACAACCTTATACCACTACTCACATCACCTCCAATGCTACCAACAACAGCACCTTATGCCAGTACCCACACAACCTCTCATACTAAAATGAACTGAGGAGTCACCTTCAAACGCTGTGTTGTTTTTTCTTCCCTTTGTTTTCTGAGATCTGCTGCTTACTGCTATCTGCTTCATTGCAGATTTTTTCTTTGCTTCCTTACATGTCCATTATTGGTGGTGTCCAAGCACACTCATCACCCCCTGCTCTTGCGGCACCCCTATGGTGATGTAGTTTGAGCAGGAACTGGCAATAAACCTGAGATTAACATCCAAGGCTTACAACACTCTGCCTCCTCTCAGGAGTAAGCCTTTTGCTTCATTCATCACCCACTAGACTAGACGACGTGGAACCAGGACCCACCACTTCTTTCTCTACATTATTTATGAGAGCTTACCTTCACATTATTGTCAGAGTCTGATGCAATTTATATGAGTATTGCTTCAGCTGCATACAGAGACCCAGATTTCCCTTCTCGGTATATATTTAAGTACTGTACCAACTAATGTGCAGATTTCACAGTTTTGAACCAAAAGTTTTCCTTTCATAGGATTAAGGTGCTATGTAGAACGTGAGTAGCATAATTATAAAATGGCAACCACCAAAACACATTGTCATGATTTAACAAGGGTTTATTGTACAGTACCTAATTTATGAAAACAAGAAGGTGCTACCGGGTTCTTCCCTCTGTACAGTAGTTTCATATTACAGTAGTTATTGTATGTATTAAACAATAAACTTAGTGACTGTAGGATTAAACTGAGCAGATGACACTATTAAGAGTAACTAGTAGAAAATCTGAATTTCATAAACCTGACTTACAGTATTTATACCTAGACCTTTATACTGTATTTATATTCAGTTATCTAAAGCTTTATTTTTACTCTAGATGTTTATATAGATATAAAATTTTATGTATGATCTGTTATTTGTGGGATACTGTTTGGTTGGCATGTTCATGTATATCAAGCATTTGGATGCGAGGTTTTTACACCATTACCAGATCTCTTGGCCTATCCTGTACTGTACTTGTTGGGTCTTTGTGAACTTAATTGGCTGACTGTGTAGTAATAAGCATATGGTACTTCCTACTTTATTTTTTAAGAATCTACATAAAGTAGTACTGCATCAATGTTTGAATTTCATATTTTATCATATACAGTTTTACATTACTTGTACAACTGCTCCTCAACTTAGGGACCCAAATCCAGGTCGTAAGTCGAATTGGTCGTAAGTCGAAAATGCTTAAATAATACATAGAAAATCTAAAATGGGTGTCTCTTTTTCTTCTCAGCACCACAAAACTCTCACTTTTAAGCTTGCCAGCCATTTTAAAAGGAATTACAAACGAAAATTTAGTCAGTACACAGCGCAATCACTAACATCGGGACTCGAAAATACGTAATTTGAAAAAATTTTGGTACGACTGGGGCGGTCGTATGTCGAGGAGTAGCTGTACTGTATTATGATTGCTACTCTGAAACTATAGAGAAAAAAAAGGAACTAGAATAAGTACTGTATAATGTATGTGGCATTAACTTTTTGGTAGGTTGTTCTTAATGAAGTATCTGTATTTGTTAAGAGTATCTTACAGTTTATAATTTTTTCAGACATCACAGGGAAAATCGAGGAACAGATGAAGGGTTAAAGAGTTGGAGAAATTTATTGTCACCAGTGATGTTCAGAAGCTCAGCAAATTTATGGGAGTACAGTATGAACTCTGGATGCAAGAAAAAACAACAACAACAAATACTGTAATGTTCAAAATAGTAATATGTGAGGTGAATAGGATACAAAGAATAAGGAATATAGAAATGTGGAGATGAAGTAGTGTAAGTGTTGGATAGAATACTGACCAAGGTTTGTTCATATGCAATGTATAGACTTTGAGGAATGGGAAATAAAAGATTGATAAAGAGTGTGTAATTCAGAGTTGGATAGAAGGAAAGAAGAAGACAAGGAAGATGGAAGGATAGAGTGAAGAAAGGGGGGGGACATCCAGGAGGCAATAAAGCATGGCACCAAGTGGGATATGGGAATGTCACATATTTAAGAGTGAAAGGATTGATTTTCACCATTGCATAACATTGTGGGATAAGGTTTGTAGGAGTGAAAAGAATAAACATGATATGAGTATAGTATAGTACAGTACCATACCAGTAATCATGGTCTGTTTGTTTTATTTGGTGATTTCATTATACAGGGTACTGTATATGTGTTCTGTACAGTATATGATCATGGTAAATTTTTAAAACTTTTTCTAGGATTTTAGTATTTCTTAAGCCAAAATGTATTTATTGAAATGAATTGCAGTTCTTAAAGTAGTGAAATTTATTGGAAAGTTTTGAATTATTTGTACAGTACATGAAAATTGCAAGTTGGGTACATTAACTTTTAAGTACAGTACAGTATAGACTGAATAAACATTTAATGTTAAAATGTAAGGAAAATATGGAATATAAAAGGTGAGGGTGAAAACAATAATTTAAATATTTTGGTTCTACACTGTAATTAGCATATGGAGAGGATGATTGAAAACAGAAAGGGAGAAAATGAAGACATAGAAGGTTAAAATGCCAGAGAGAGGTGTGAGTATTGAAGAATGTGCTTAACTGTGCAGAAATAGGGGTGCATGAGGGCAATCTACATAATTATATCCACCCTGGTAGATAGTGGAGGACAGTGCTATGATTATATACAAAGTTTTAGTTGTATGAAGTTCTGTGTTTTACTTTAGATTATATTCAGTATGAGTTGTACTTATTCACCACTGCACTTCATCATACATAAGTGTGTATTTGGTATACAGTATTATGTAATGGAAAACTTTTTCTGATTTCAATCAATATTTACAGTACAGTACAGTGTGTCCATGAGGTAAAAACACCCATACTTATGAATGTGATCCCATTGTATCCATGATAAAAATCCAGCTCAACTTACAATTGTTTGCTAGTACAGTACATGTACAACATTTATGAATGTGACACTACTTTGTTGAATAATTAAATCATCCACCAGTCCTCCATACACCATCCGTTACTGTAATCAAGCCATCTTCGGGTGTCAAGGTACAGTAATTATAACAATTTATTTTGTACATTATTTACATTATTTGTTATTTGTGGATTATAATTGAAGTGATTTTGCAGGTAGGGATGGGTTTTAATCTTATTTTATTGTGAAATTACATTAACATGGTACTGGGTTACAAACGAAGACTTCTGAACAAGGTCCAGAAACATAACTTGTTTATAACTCTGGGACCTCCTGTACTGTATGGTGTTTTGTCCCACTGTGGTGTGTCATTTGTTCTTTGATATGAGATCATACACAGAATGGGGAAGAACATAGGTGTAAAAGCTAGACCTATTGGAGCAATTTCATTTCTGCTTCATGTGTCTGGCAGATGCATTTCATGGTTATCCTAAAGTACACAAACTCGTGGGTGTAGTGCAGTACTTGTCTTCATGTCTATTTTTCCCATTTTTTGTTTTGTTTTATTTTGTTAAATGGATTTATTGTCATACTTTTATTGATGCTTATACAGTATTAAAAAAAAAATAATGGGAGTAAAAAAGGTAAAATTCTTCAAAACTTGGAATAATGTTGTATATTATTCATCACACTACAGTACAGTAAAAAAACAACAACATAATAATAGGAGCCCTAACCCTTATGAATTATGAGGGACACCATCTGCCGAGGGGTAAACAAACAAAACAATGGTAGTTTTCGTAATCTGCCCCAATAAAAATTTTAATGTTTCTAAGTATAGTACCAGATTTAGTGTTGTCAGACATAATGGCTCAAACACTGGGCAATGACGGAAAAGGTGGATAAAGCTTGTACAATAGACTGTAGACCCTGATCAACTGTCCAACACACGTATACGGTAGTACTTGTTTACACCGAGACGGTCGGTCGCATCTCATTTGACAAATTAATTACCTTAAGTGGCCCCTCGGTTAACGAACTCAATCCGTTCCAGAAGGTCGTTCGTTAACCGAAACCATTGTTTCAATGGGTTTTGGGTAATTGGTTCCAGCTCACCGAAAATTTCCTAAATTCAACAAAAATGGTAGAAAAGTTCACTTACTTTGAGGTGTGTATGTAGAAGGCTCCTGGATGATGATGATGATGATGGGATTTAGAATGGGGGTGGAGGAGAAGGAAGAAGAGAAGGCATTGGGGTGGAAGAGAAGTCACCCCATGGTGCCATTTCACCCATAAAATTTTAGCTCTCTGGTTTAATTCAAGATTATTTTCTTTAAATCAACGCTGCACTGCATTATATATTGTCAATATATAAAATATATTTCAAAATGACCAATAATTTGCTTGGAAACACAGAAAAAAAGCGTTTAGTTGAAGAGAGTCTCAAGCAAGATGTTACCTCCACTGAAAACAGAGAGAGACTGACGCCTGTTTGCTGTGTTAAGAGGCTGGATGCCGCGCATTAAACTAGTCACTTTACCTTCAATTTTGTTCAATAATTGTTAAAATGACTAAAAAATTGAATATTAAACTTTAAAAATTATTGAATAGTATAAACTTCTTGATATTTACAAAAATAGTAAGGAATTTAAGCCCTAGAACCGATTAATGTATTGGCGGACTGATACTAAAGCTGGTTGCCCGGTCAGTGCAAGCGAAAACATGTTGAGGTCGGTTCGTAAGAAGTTCGTTAAGCGAAATTTTTTTCGTTAAACGAATTGAAGATCCTTATGGAAGGCAGTTCGTTAATCGAAATTACGTTAACCGAGGTGTTCGTTAAACGAGGGGTCACTGTACTTTGGTAAAAAAGCTGTTTCTATCTTATTTAAATACATTTTATCAGTAATGAAATATTACATTGTACTTTACAATATATAAATTCGTTCTCTTGTCTGGGTATTCGTAAGTCAGATGTTCTTAACTCAGCCGCTCCCTATATGGAAGTGAGGGGTAATCTAATTAAAAATTTGTGTGCTTCTTAAATTCCAGTCAGAAATCAAGACCCTGTGGCATCAGCACATAGATTTGCTGATGCTGACAATATTGAGATGTTTGAACCAGACTCTGTAAAATGAGATATAAGGATATTTTAAGTTTAAATTTACATGCAAGATTTTGTTGGCCATGTAGCTACTAACTTTTTATTAGCTACACTGAAAGAGAATTTTATACCATTTAACTTCAGAACTTGATGCGAGTCCAGCTGCAGGACTGTTAGAATAAGTGTCTTTGATTCCTATATTACCCAGTTCACACTGCCATATCTTGGTTGTTTGAGAGCCTATTTGTGGTGTACAGTATAGTACTGTACAGTTAACCCTCACTTTACGCGGTCCCGCATTCCGCGTTTCCACGTTTACGCGGTGCCTTGCCAGATCCTCACGTGCTCACATTATGCGGTACGTGAACCCCATTACTCGGAGAGTGTCCGGCGCGACGCTATTTTTAGATTCGCCCCACCCGCCACCCGCCCGCCTGCCTGCCTGTGCTCCTCGCCTCTCCCTCCTCCTCCCTCCGCTTGGGCAAGCGGCGCGGTAAGGTTGCGCAGTGTGTGTCTTTGTTGCGTTATCACTGACGTCATATGACGTATCAGACCTGTGATTGGCCATGCATCCCTACCCCCCTCTGCTGCTAGCTGTAATTGGCTTAAAGTATTATGACGTGTCCACCCGGGGGAGGGAGGGAGGGAGGAAAGACGACGCTTGACCTAGCCGCGGCAGTTTCATCCCTCAAGGCCACTCCGTGTAAACGCGCATCCATTGTTCCGTAAAATGGCTTCCGCCGGACCACCACCCCCAGAGAGAAACCTTTCCTTACCTGGACCCAGCAGCACTAAGCCAAAGAAGACACGACGTTCCTTAAGCTACGAGGTGAAGTATACCATCATCCAAGAGTTGGAGAAAGGAACAAGGCAGGTTGATTTGGCGCGCCAGCATGGTGTGAATGAATCTACGATTCGAACAATAAAGAAGGATGCAGCCAAGATAAAGGAGCACATGAAGATCACAAAGTCTACAGGTGCTTCTATGATCAAGTATTTTCACAACCAGGTGCTTCTCAAGACAGAAAAATTACTTGTGAGGTACTTGGTGCGTCAGGCGCGACGGAACATGGCGGTCGACACGCGCTCTGTTAAGGACTACGCACGTGAACTGTACATCGCAGTGGCACGAAAGATGGGAATTACAGAGCCCAAACCCTTTAATGCTTCCTCTGGGTGGTTACAGAGGTTTAAGATCCGGAACAAGATCACCAATATAAACATTGGTGGTGAAGAAGCGAGTGCTGACCGTGCTGCGGCTCGGGAATTTCCTCCGTTTTTACGTGAGATTATGGAGGAAGGACAGTACAGTGACGACCAGGTGTTTAACATGGACGAATCTGGTCTTTTCTGGAAAAAGCTACCTTCCAAGTCCTTCGTTGTAAAGAATGCCAGCAGGATTCGGGGCCGGAAGATGCAGAAGGAACGCATCACCGTCCTGTTTACCACCAATGCCTCCGGTACCTGTAAGCTCAAGTTATCGGTGATCCACACAGCACGCAAGCCGCACGCCTACAAAACCATGGACATGACCAAGCTAAATGTCCACTGGCTGACCGCACGTAAGGCGTGGATGTTCTCTACACTGTCCCTCTCCTGGTTTGATGACTGTTTTGTTCCCGATGTAAAAAAATTCTGTGAGCGACAGAATGTGCCATTCAATATTTTGTTGCTGCTGGACAACGCACCAGGACACTCGCCCCTACTGTTAGATCGTCACCCCAACGTAAAAGTGGTCTTCCTTCCTCCCAACACTACGTCTATATTACAGCCCATGGACCAAGAGTTAATCTGTAATGTAAAAGCTGCATTCTCAACAAAAAAATTCCAGCTCCTGAACGACTACACCAACACCAGGGAAGAGTTGCGTAACCTGAGTGACACCACCACCGATAGCAAGAGCGAAGAAGATGAGGATCAACAGTTGGAACAGCAAAAAATACTGTTCAAACAATTCTGGAGAGTATTTAACATCAAGAAAGCTGTGGACTTCTTGGTGGAGTCATGGGATCAGCTGTCTATTGCTACAATTCGTCACGCATGGAGACATGTGTTGCATGGAATACCAGGTGAGAGGAGGAGTCAATCTGTGACTGGTGAGGTTCAGAATGTTGCAGTAGCAGTGGACCTTGCCAGAGAAGCTGCGCAGACTGTTACAGTTCCAGGCTTCTCCGAGACCACCAACGACGACATCCTGGAGGTGATCAGAGATCCTGAAGTGACTGCCGACGAGATGTTGGAAGAAGAACACGTCAGTGAAGAGGAGGAAGAAGGTGCGTCATTCTCCGAAGAACACAGTTTAAGTCATAGTGATATTAAGGGTGCCATGGAGTGTGCAGAGAAAATGAAGTCCTTCCTTTCCCGCGACAATGACGATGACCGCTATGAAGTCTTCCATACCCGGCTGGTGCAGGCTATGGAGCCGTACATCAAGGTGTATCACGACAACATCAACGCCAGCCGTCAGCAAAGCATAACAGATTTCTTCGCCCGCAACCCACCACAGCCAGCCCAAGCCAGTGATAGTGACAGTGAAGTGATGACTTTGAGGGATTTGTCAGGGAAGCCCTGACAACTGTAAGTGACAGTGATGGTGATTCACCTAGTAATGGTGATTCACCTGAGGGCCAGTAATCTGCCCTCTGCCTCGGAACCAGCCTCCATCCCCGTATGCCGACCCATCTCTTCTACTACCGTAAGTGTTCCACCTAACTTTTAGTTTTCTAACCTAACCTTTATTTTTCCTATGTTAACCTTTATTTTTCCTAACCTAACCTCTTCTATATTACTTGTTTTTTCATACCATCATAAAGTTAAGATAAAATTTTTACTACAACATAGTTGTGTGTCGTCAAAAAGTGGAGTTTGGGGATCGGCCCGGACTCCATTTCAATTAATCCCATATGTTATGTTATTCACTTTACGCGTTTCTCACTTTACGCGGGACCCTCCGGGTTACATTAACCGCGTAAAGTGAGGGTTAACTGTACAGTATTAAGGTTTTGAGCTTTAATTTTAGATTTTCATTGTACAGTATAGTAATTCCTTGCCACCGACTGGGGTTATGTTCTGAAATTCTCCCATGGTTAGCACAACCTCATCATTTAACTTCATAACAGTTTTTGAGCGTTCATATACTAATGCCATAACCACTCAAACAAAGCACTCCTCGACCCCTAGCTTTCTCATTGTTGTACACATCAAATGCTTTCTCAAAGTCTGCAAATACAAACTACAACTTTCTCTCCTTCCTTAGGTTTTCTTGGCCTTATATAACACCACTGTTGTGCCCTCTACATGTCATGAACTCAAATTGTATTTTGTTATTGTCCACTATCTCCCTTAACAGTATGTTTATGATAAAATAGCTTCTTTTAAAGTGAGCTGTTTACAGAATGGTAATGTATTTATGTATTAACATGCTGCTCCAGTTACTCCAGTTTCATCATATAGTTATTATTAAGTCACTTTGGATAGTCCATGAACTCACAGATACAGTACAGTTTTACTTCCTTTCCACCATAAGATGGTGCCAGCCTGCAGTAGATTTAAGGCTAATAATAATAATTACAAAGCTTGAGGAAGCAGTAAATACCTGGTACTAGGCAATTTAATTTTTTCTAACATTTCTCCAAAAGTTCAGGATAGTGAGGAATTTATGCAAGTTTCTTTACATTAGTGTTATTTTTCTAAGTTGGAATAATATGCAGGGTTTTTTTATTTCAGATATTCACATGAAATAATAATACTATTGTACTCTTATTTACAGTACTATTGATTTTTGGCATTTCATACCATATCTATTTTTAATGTCTGTATTACTGCCAATAAATGTACTCACTGATATCTATTCAGTGTTAAAAATGCCCGAGTGTATTGAACACCAATCAATTGATATACAGTACAGTCTCGGTTTACGCGGTCAATTAAACCCATGGAGGTCCGCGTAAAGCGAGAAACGCGTAAACGAAATAACATATGGGATTAATTGGAATAGGGACTAGGCCGACCCCCAGACTACCCTTTTTCCGACACAATACGTACGTTGTAGTAAAAATAACATCTTAATTTTATGATGGTATGCACACACAATTAATATTTAAAGAAATATCAATAATATTAGGTTTTTTAACAATTAACTTCGTAGAAGAGATGGCTGGGCACACGGGGATGGGGGGTTGGTTCCGAGGCAGAGGGCAGATTATTGGCCCTCGCCTGTATCACTTGTATCACTATCCACCACAGAGGCTTGCAGGGCTTCTTTGTCAAACCCCTGAAAGTCCATATCCTCACTATCACTGACTTGGGCTGGCTGTGGTGGGTGGCGGATGAAGAACTCGGTAATGTTTTGTTGACTGGTATGCATGTGGAAAAAAGTAAAAGAAAGAACTACATTATATTAAGGTCAAAAACATAAAAGGAGTAAACATTTCCTAGTGTGCAAAAGTTAGCATGCCAAGCGAGGGAGCTTGAGGGGGAAGTGGAGGCAGTGTTCCAGCTGGGCTGAGTTGCTATGGTGAGCTTTGAGGTCACCCACCTACATTTTATGCAAATGGGGTGGTTGTGTTAAACTTTCATTTAGCTTTTCCTTAATGGTTTTAGCTGCATCTTTTCATCTAGTTGGTATTTTATTACCGTTTTTAATGTGTTGGGTAGTAAATTACAATAGATGCATTCTATTTTTCATTAGTTTGGTCGGTTTTCTTGTTTGTGAATCCTATCTTTCCCATTTGTTGTTAATCGAGACATGCAAATTCACTTAAAGAATGGTTTTCCAGGAATCTAGCCCATTTATTAAGTGGAGGATACCTGTAGAAAGTGGGTTATAACTTACCGATAGTTAAATTAACCCCTTCACTCAGAGGGGCTGATATGGTCACCAACCACTATAATCATCAGAGGAGGTGGATGAGGGAGGGTGTGTGTGAGTGAATGAACACTCCCATCACTCAGCTGGCAGCCCACCACCTACCATGTGGTGGTCAGTCTCTTAGCAAACAAGTAAACAGAACAGGCTGGCCACTCAGAGAAAGAGGTAAGAAAACAGATAAATACAGTAAGCTCAGTGTTCACCCCAATGCAAGACAGGGAAAAGTAAATAAATCTGACAAGGCTGAGGGGGGATACCAGTGTCTTAGAATAAGACTAGTGTCATATCAGAGCAATTTCACCCTCCCAAATTTTCATACTGTTATGGAGATTAGAGGATGTACTAGGTACATTCTTGTGATGTGATACATGATGTTAGAGGGCATACCAGATAAGTCCTGCTGACTCAAGGGGTTGACTGATGTAGTAGAAAACAGGGAAATCTCCAAAAATAAAATAATTATAAAATGAATTAAGAGGAATACCTTTTACTTCCTAATTCATGTTGATTTGGGTTAACAGGTGATCATTGTTAAAATAAGAAGAGATTTTTGTTCTCTTGAAAATTCAGACGGCAAATAAGTGGCAAAAAAGTTTTTTCACCTTTGGATTTAGTGCTCATAAATGAAATCATGGGACATTTTTTTTCATAAATTGAACCTTCATAAGTTGGGGACTGCCTGTATATGGTTCTGTTGCTTCCTTTAATGCACAAATGTTTAATCTTCTCATGGATCTCCACAAAATGCTTGGATGAATTTTAGTGAAACTGAAAAGATGAACTATCAGGGTTAGTATCATTAAAAATAATTGTGGGAAATTTGAAAAAAAAAAGCTTCCACTTCAGTACTTTATTTAATAAAGCCAGTACAGGTATCTATAGTATTTTAACATTTAAAATACCAATGCACTTTAACAACCAATGTATCAGAAACTACATATGAATGTACAGTGAGAGAACAAAATATCTTCCCAGCTTTGGCTGAAGTATAATGAAATCTGACTATCCATCACAGTGAATGGTGTCACTAGCAACCCCTTGCTTAACCGTTCTATGAAGTACACGTTTTCGTAAAAACACCGGGAAGATACTTTATTCTCTCACTGCACAATCAACCTTAAGTGAACTTTTAAATTAGTACAGTATTAATCTTTTATCAATGGCATACAAAAATTCTCACTTATATGAGCAACAAAAAGTTTTGACACATTACAATTCTCTCCATGTAACTGGTACTTTTATAGTTTAAACGGTATGTACAAACAATATTCATGCATTATGTTAGATAAAATGACAGTCTACCATATCAGCATGAAGTTAGACATACTGTATGCTTATTACCGACCTATTCAATAACACACTCAGCTCCTACTGCCTTAAAGGATTCCAACAGCTGTTCAGCCTCATCCTTAGGTATGTCAGCCTTAACCACACATGGACAGCTCTCCACAAATTTCTTAGCCTGTTGTGGACAAGACAACACACAAATTATAACATTCAGTGACATAAATTGGAAAAATTATATTTTTATGACAACCCAGTCAATGAGGGTCTCAAACACCACTCTATAAACTGCAAGAGGCACCTAAAACTTTATTTTCAGTGACAAATGTATTAAAATTGTCTATATTCAGGAAGAAAATTTGTGTTTAATGAAATAGGATACAGGTAATTTTAATAATGATTTCTTACAAAGACCATAGTCAACTGGAGTGTCACAATGTACAGTACAAGGAATATAGTTGGTGCATCTTAAAAAAAAAAAGGGCCTTTTTATCACTACTGTATACATTATTCTCCTTTTTTTCATTAATGAAGAATTGGTCCTGAAATCCTATTTTATAGAAAAGCCCAATGCCAGGTGGCTCTCATTACTGCAATGGCCAAATAAGAAGCATTGTGACAACAACATATAAATGCAAGTACAGTACAGTTATGGCCAAACGTATTGTAAGAGAGACATATGGTACACACACACACACACATCAGATTAAATCAATCCACTTTGTTTTTCACAAGTAAAACTTCAAAAGCACACTACTTATAAAACAAAAATATCTAGAAAAGTGTACACAATTTAAATACATATTTTACATACATTCACTTACCTGTACAAGATTATAACCTTCCAGACGTGCCTTGACTTCCTTAATCAAAGCCACCTTTCTGGACTCATCATATTTATTCATCTTAAGTGTAAAGCTGGTCTGAACCTTAGCTGGAGCAGCAGCTTCCTCCTCCTCTTCCTCCTGTTAGAACAGTTATAGTATTATCAGGGGTATAGTACTCTTATGAAAATCATGGTGTAAACCAAAACATTCAATTGTAATGTTTATACTATATTTTCATTATTTATCACAAGTATTAAAAACAAATAAAGCATTAAAGAATATAGAGAATAAATAATAATGTACAGGTACAGTAGGGTTGGGATATATTGCAACTTTATAAAAAAAAAAAAAAATTGCAGCTACCAAAATTATCGACATTTTCCAATATACGTACTTGTATAGTGATGTGTTTTTATTTTGCAAGGGAAATCGGGCAGGAAATATTTCAAATGTACTGCCATGGCAAACAAATGCATTATTTGCTAACCAGAGGCGCCACCCTGGCTGCTCACTCATGCATTCACACTCAGTCCTTCTGAGTGAGTGACGAGAAAGCAGCCGACTGCTGCAGATTACGACTTCTGAGGCGAGTGTAAATGGGTTGCTAGTGACGAGAAAAGTGAAGATAATGGAAAGCTTAATAAAAAAGATTTGATGAGGTAAGAAATATTTTTGGTTTGTTTGTTTATGACTGTTAAGCGAGGGTGGCAGTGTGGTGTCTGTTGTTGTCAGGATGGTGCATCAGCTGTCGAGTCTGGTGCAAATTCCAATTTCTAAAGCGAGTGTAAATGGGTTACTTGTGACATGAAAAGTAAAGTGAAGAAAATGGAAAGCTTAATGAAAAAGATTTAATACTGTAACTAATATTTTTGCTATTAGTTGCTATTAAACTCATCATCTTTACCCTACCTGGGCAGCAGCTGGTGCTGGCATCCCTCCATATGCCATGACTGGAGCATCAGAAATATTGAGTGTCTTCTTGAGCAGTTCATTGAGGTCTGCTACCTCCACCAGTGTCAGATGGGAGATCTGGGACACAATGCTCTGAATCTTTTCTGGATAAACCTGAGGGTAGAACATATTGTTACACTTTGTGTTTGCATGTCCCATAGTACTGTAATGTACCGTAATTATTATTTAATTTAAAAATCAGCTTACTAGTCTACTCTACATTTTCTTATGTATTCAATGTATGGAATTAAAATCTATTACTCAACAAACCTTTGGTGCGCCATCAGGACTTGGGGCCATCAGAGGCTCTGCACTCATAAAGCGACATTGTTTTCTTAAGATACACACTGCCGACTGTCTCCCCACATGATGTCTGAAGAAACACAAGCAAAAATATATGTAATCAACCATACATTTGGTTGCATTTTATGATTTTACAGCTTTCAGTTTTCATATAGCTTCTGCTTTTTTATACTGTACTGTATTTTAGGTGTGTTGCACCCGCTCATTTCATATACACATGTGCACCACCCAAAATTAAATTCCAATTTATAAAATCTTATTTCCGAGGTCTTCTTCCTTTTGGAAACAACACGTACCCAGTGCAGTACATGAAAACTTGATGCTTCATTCATTACCTCAACCTGACTCAGTAGCCTATTCTCATCTCCTTGTACCTCAAGAAAATCTCCTCAAAAGATGAGTATTGCACAAACAATTTTTGTAATATTTTTGTCTTTACTTTTTCATCTTGAACACTCATCTATATCAGGCCACTGTCATACTGACATCCTTTTCTTGGCTTACAACACAACCATTCCATAGAACATTTCCAGCAACTAACTACACAATATAAGATAGCCGTGGTTAATTGTACAAACAAATGTCATCATACTGTCTCACGATGGCTGAGAATTAAATAATTCTTGAGAAACCTAACCTAACCTCAAACAAGGCAACGTAATAAAAACAGTTTATTGGCCATCACAAGAGATATGATAAAATTTGTTCATAAAGGACAACTTTGGAGCTTCATAATATTTATATAGGGAGACAGCAAAAAAACAAACAAACAGAATGCTGTACTTCATTATTTTTTCATCACAAATTTATATTTATATTTTTTATTTTTACTTTCAATTTTACTCAAGTAAGTATAAGTTTGCAGGAGACGCCGTTTACTAATTACTCCGCTAATCAACGTGTCTCAATGTCACGTGATACTGCTGCCTAATCAATATAAATTTCAATACATGGTAAATACAGAATAATAACCCCAGTTACTTCAAAGCCCTGCCCACTTTGTGTAATAAATTTTTTGGATGTGGGGGGTTATATGCATCTCCATAATGATTCATTTCCAACAGAAACGAAGATCGGATTCGACTGAAACACCGTAAAAAGTTTAGTCATAACACAATTCCATAAATATTTTTTTTATTGATGATGGACTAATGTAACTATTATCTTTGGTACACGCTGAAAGAGCTCAATTGTTAAAACAGTACCTGTAATAACATTTTAACACCATAAAAACCACTAGAAAAACCTTTCTTTTCATAACTAATTTCTGTGGTTGTCCTCTTCTGATGCTATACCATAACAAGTATGAAATTTCGTTAGTTTTATGCATTATCAAGAAGGCTAATATACTGTACTATATTATACTAGATCATAAAATATACGGTAATAAATTCCAATTTTGTTGCCTTAGCCTACAAGAATCAAAGCACATACCTCATACAACAGGTAAGAGCACTGTAATTACTCGTTATGATACTTCTCAAAGCTTGCATTGTAACAGGAGTGTTCAAATTAAAGGTAAAATTAGTGGTGTAAATAAGTTTTATGTACACGGCACACCTGGACGGGCCGCTCAGCTGGTGGCACACTACGGATGGTGTTCGTTTTCATCCGTTTAATGACCGGTTATATATTTATTTTATTTACTTTTTCTCCCCCCAAAATACTCAGTTTCCATCTGTACTCAAAATTTTATTAAATTACACCAAATTACTAGGTGTAGTAAAGGATATATTAACCGTACAACAATTTTAGAATGAGACATATAAAAGGTTTCTTGCTTTCATCTTGCTGAATGAAAACGAATACCTTAAATTGTTACCAAATCTCGTATTCTCATGTATTGCCGTTTTGTTAGGGAATATTTGGTGAAATAAATATTCTGTCGACATCCAAGTTCTATCAATATAATAATGATCTTCAACACTATTAGATTCATACAAAGAAATTCTGTATTTTGGAATCATATATGGTGGTACTAAATAATTTATATTATGCCATGAGTATTTTTCCAAATTTTATAATTGTTGGCCAAATTAACATGCTGTTGCCTTTGATTTTATTCCTAAGCTGGATTATATATATAATGCACCAATATGAAGTTGTATGACGATTTCTATTGAATATCCACTGTTGTCTGTCTGAGAGTATGTTAAGTCACAAATTAAGAACATCAATATTTTCTACTTGGCATTACTGCTTACGTAGGTAAATAAAATTGCTGCTTCTATCGTCTGATAAAATTCAGTAAAAATACTAGAGGATTAACATTATATGCCTTTATAATGAGCAATAAACGATTAATCACTTAAAATCGCACCATCGATTAGTTTAGTGGGTACAATAACTTATGAAAAATACGATAATTTTACGACTATGTACGACACCGAGTGACCGTACCAACCAACCATTGAGTAGTTCACGTGTAATAACAAGAAGTGGTTGTAGTGGAGGGGACTGTGAGGAATATATTGTTCCCTATGACACTAATTATTCCTGGATCATTCAAGACACCAAGATGGCACTCGAAGATTACTTAGAGGAGGCTAGAAAACTTGCTGCTTTACCAGAGTCTTGTATTAAGAAGGTGGAGAGTCAACTTACGTTACTTGTACATCCCATGCATTACCAAAACCTTAAGAAAGGCGTATTTGAGGAGTTGAATGCCTTAAAGAAGCGCTACTCTAAAGTGTAAGTATCATGCATAGCCAAAGTTGTTTTTATATGATCTAATATGGATAGTTTCCGTCACCAAATTATCAGTTTTTGAAGTCCATATATTAATCCCTTGACCTATCGAGTAAGAAAATTCCGACATTCATCAAATAATTTTAATGGTTACACTGCATTTGATGTTTCCAGGCTTGGTGGAATTGCCATGGCATATGAAGATGTGCAGGTTGTGTCGTCTAATGGTTGGCTGTTTGATACTAATCCTTTCAACCACATCATCATTCGTGCCCAATTTTACATCTTTGCTCCAGAAATAGGCAGTATATTAGAAGGTAAGGGGAGGAGATAATAGTGTGTGTGACAGTGGATGAAGACATATATGGTATGACACTTTGAATTAACTTGTGAATGTTTTCTTAATGGGAGTTCAGTTTGGAGAGAATAGGAAAACATTTTGCATATGGGTGTAAGGTAAGTCTGTTTGGTCTTAATCTGGTAGCTACTGTAACCACAATACAGTATTCTTACAGCAGTCAGGAAATGTATCAAAACAGGGACAGAGGGTCCGACTAATTACCCAAATGTAGCCGCAATGAAGTCAAATAATGGTCCTAAATGAATAAATCGGGTTACCAATCACTTCTCGACTAGTATTTGGTGTCACAAAGTAAAAAAAAAATTGGAAAACGTAATTTAATTTGAGTTAATAGATCGAGTGCATGAACCGAACCTAACCTAACCTCGACTAGTATTTGGTGTCACAAAGTCACAAAAAATTGGTAAACTTAATTTAATCTGAGTAAATAGATCAAGTGCATGTACCTAACCTAATCTAATCTAACCTAACCTAACCTAACCTAACACAACACAACTCAGATTAAATTAAGTTTACCAATTTTTTTTTTTACTTTATGACACCAAATAATAATCAAGAAGTGATTCACAGCCCGAATTACGCTTGTACGACCATCATTTGACTTCATTGCGGCTACATTTGGGTAATTCCTCGCTCCCTCGGTACATGCACGCGATCTATTAACTCAGATTAAAGTAAGTTTTCCAATTTTTTGTGACTTTCTGACACCAAATACTAGTCAAGAAATGATTAGCAGTCCGATTTATTCATGTAGGACCATTATTTGACTTCATTGCGGCTACATTTGGGTACATTTGGGTAATTATTCGGACCGGGGACAGATGTTTGATACTGTATATAGCACAGTCACCTTGCAAACAATTCTTCATAGTTTACCATTTTCTATGCTTACTGCTGTTGCTAGTAAGTACTATACACACAACTACAAATATACATGTGCTTGATATGTAAAGATGTCCTTTTACTTTACTTTTATCCTTTCGCCACTGGTCTGCTCATTAGCCACTTGGGTGGTCAGCCACATTTGCTACGCACTATTGGCAGATACTGGGCTTGCACTGGCTCCTGAATATATCTGAACCTGCACCAGTGTTGGTCAAGTCTGGCCTTGAATGAGCTCACACTCGGTGCCGTCACAACGCTCACTGGCAAATTATTCCAAGAGTTCACAATTCTCCTTGCCAGAGTATAAATGAGTTTTTGTTGGCAAAGGTTCTTCAAATGGAATTTAAACAGAAAACTAAACCCATTTAGTATTGAAATTTAATATAATGTGATTCATTTCTATATGATGAACAAATACAGAAATTTTATCTCCAAAACTCATGTAAATTAGCGGTTTTCTATTTGCTACTCCAAATCTGTAGTCTTCAGATTGAATCAAGAATGGTACAGTGGTCCCTTGGTTAACGAACACAATTCGTTCGACAAGGTCGTTCGTTAACTAAAAATTTCGTTAACCGAAACCATTGTTTCAATGGGATTTTGGGTAATTGATTCCAGCTCACCGAAAATTACATACAAAGTAAAAATAAATGCAGTAAAGTACGTACACTTACTTTGAGGTGTGTATGTAGAAGGCTCCTGGTTGATGATGATGATGATGGGAATTAGAAGCAGAGGTGGAGGAGAAGGGAGAAGAGAAGGAAGTGGGGGTGGAAGAGAAATCACCCCATGCTTCATGCCGTCATTTCACCCATAAAATTTTAAGTTCACTAGTTGTAATTCAAGATTATTTTCTTTAAATCAACACTGCACTGCACTATATATTGTCAATATGTAAAATAAATTTCAGAATTACCAATAATTGCACTGTAAAAATGTAAAAATAGTTTATGTTCAAGAGAGCCACAAGCAAGATGTTACCTCCACTGACCAGAGATACAAACTGACGCCTTGTTGGGTGAGTCAAGTGGCTGATTGGTGCACCAAAAACTAGTTTCCTGTACTGCAATTATGTTAAATAACTGTTAAAATGACTAAAAATTTAAATATAAAACTTGGAAAATTATTGAATAGTACAACTTCTTGATATTTACTCAAATGGGAACGAATTTAAGCCCTAGAACCGATTACTGTATTGGCGGATTAATATTCCAGCTGGTGAGCAAGTGAAAACATGTTGACATGATTTCGTAAAAATTTCGTAAACCGAATTTTTGTTCGTTAACCGAATTGAAGAGTCTTATGGAAGGTAATTCGTTAACCGAGGCGTTCGTTAGCCGAGGGATGACTGTATTAAAATTTTGGAAAGTATAGGTGCATAAAGCTATTAAAACAGGCAGACTTTACAGGTTTCCATTATTCCATTTGTTTTGTTTGATGAAAATCATATACAGTACAATATTGCCATGAGGTTCATCTGTATAGATGAGCAACGATGCTAATGTGTTTAAAATTATATAAATTACTGACACCACAAGAATAAAGAGTGAGAGGGATTGTGTTGGAGGAGAATGTATAATCTTCCTTAGTTGTTGAGAGAGGTGTGTAATGAACTTGGTGGACTTCACTGAAATTTAAACAGTACTGTACTGTACAGGTATTGTATTTAAATAAAAAAGTCAGCATTAAGTGTTGTCATCATATAAAGTTACCCCACTAGGTGTTGTGAAGAAGAAGACTGTGAACCACATTGGCTGCCTGGTTCATGGGATGTTCAATGTGTCAGTACCGAGACCCATGGATACTTCTGTTGACTCTTGGTGCGGTACTTACGTTGAAGAAGAAGATGGTGTTAAGCTCACTATCACTTATGTTAGCATGACAAACTTCATGCCATACATCAAGGCAGAACTCCACCCTGAACAGTGAGTAATTTTTTATAACTGATTAGTTTCTTCAGGATTCATGTGTTTTGAATATGAGACAGGAGGGAAAGGTTGGGCTAGACACCATGGGCAGGTGACCTTACTTAACAGTTTCTTTTTGTTGTACCTCTGATAATGTTTCTTATCATTATTTGATTGCAGTAAGTTTACATTAACATTGTTGTAAATAGATAGTGATTACAGGTATATTGATTTACTGTTTGCTCATTAGATTATGGTAAATATTATTATCAAAGTGTTTACTGATTTTATTGCAACAACCCATTTTAGGGGATTAAGCAAAATTGGATTAATAACAAAACAACAAAAATATAAGATATTGTCTGCCAGTTGGAAAATGTCATTATGTTGAGAATATCCTCAGAGCAGATGTTCCTGATGGTATTATTTTTCTTATGCCCTCCACTAGTCACCTCTCAGACTGTTAGGTGACTTACCAGTTGTCCTTAGTTACTCTTCCTGTCCCTTTTGTGTCAGTGGTTCTAGAATAAAGAGGACATGTTACTCTTCAGCTTGTTCCAGAGAACTTGAGTTCGACTTCGATCAATAATGGGCAACCTAAGCTAGTGAGTGGACCACATGAGCAGCTCCCATTTGTCTCAATGGGTCATAAGATTGAAATTGGGTCAAGTGCTCCAACCATGACTTAACAAATAAACTTAAATACTGGCCAAATATTTCTTATTAAAAATTAATATGTCTGCCGTGTGTGGAAAATCTAATTACATATATCAAAGAATTAAGTTAATCAAAGTTATCAGTGTATTATAAAGATATTATTACACAGTATATACCCTCAAATTACAAAAATGATTATTGATGGCCAAAAAATTTAACAAATGGGCAAATTAATATGCTGCTGCTTGTATGATTCTTTCATGTGCTTTATGTGGGTAAAGTTCAATCAAGATGTTTAATGGGCCACATTCAGAAGCCTGATGGGCCACAGGTTGCCCACCACTGAATTAGAGCCTCAACTATCCAATAAAGCACTCAGTTTCCCTGGTCACTTTACTCCACCATCAATGAATTTGTGTGAATCTAACCCAACCCTAACAATCCAAATGACCCCAGGTCAAATCCACTGCTGACCCACTATTTCGTGGCTGCCAGCCTCAGTGGGCAGTTATTGCTTCCTTCTGTATTTTTGTCGACAAAACAACCAAGTGTCAACCCAAAGGGGTTCTTCAGATGTGAATATTAGCATTAAGGTAAGGCAAATTTTTTTCTTTGGTTTTTAGTATTGTGAGGTTGCTTATGAAATATCAGTCCTGTTTGTATCTGGGCTGGGTCCCAAGAAGGTGGTTGTTTTGACACCAGTATATGTGACCTTTGTATTCATAAACACATGTATAAGTCCAAATGTTATGTGGTTTAAATTTGCAAGGGTTTAATCATCGATATAGCCTTCAGTAGCCAGTTCCAAGACTATTTCGCCTTTGGTGACATACTCTTGTCTTTATGTAGGATATGTACTCATTAAGTAAATACCTAAGTGGTTGAACTCTTTACCTTGTGGCTTTATATAATATATATAGAGGTTGCTTTCACTTATGTTGAGGTTACATTCCTAGAAAAGGTTGCATTCCTAATCAGAGCCAAAATCCCCCATAGCTAACCCCTTTTTAATTTTTTTTTGTGTTTTTGCTTTATTTTTGGTCTAGGATCTAACATACTGTAAGTGCAGTGCTGTAATAAAACTACTTGAAATTTATGTACTAACTGCAGCACAGAAATTGTGAAAGTGGAAGACAAAACAGTACAGTACAGGAAAGATATTTTACAATGCTCTGGTATGGCTCTATGCTGGCGATGATGCCACAATGGTCAGTTCTTACAACATGAATACATTTCCAGTAAAACAGTTAACTTGTTTGTGTTAAAATTATCTTATATTTATATTAAATATATGAGACAAAAAAGGGAGAACGAGAAAACAGGAACTTTAAATAAAAAGTGTTGCCAGCATTGTTTTTACAGTGCAATTTTGGCAAGGTAATTTTTTATTTTTAAGCTATAATATATATTATGTGTAACAAACGACCCATACAGTATCATGTTAACTGAAGCAAGTTTACATCCAGCATAATTTATTTTTCTTTGAAAATTACATCAACATCCTGTCTCACATGTAAGCAAAGTACTTACCCCATTTTTTTAGTTTTTACACATTTACTTAAACTTACTTGAATTCTGTAGGAGTGTGGTGGTTGGGTGGCTACCGTGCTCACCTCCTGTTCCGTGGGTCAGTAGTTTGATCCCTGGGCACTCCCAGTTCACCCAGCTGTAAATGGGTACCTAAGTTTACAACTTGGGGGAGTGAATGCTGTCGAGTGCAGTACAGGTGTCCTCCGATTTATGATCTCCTTATGTTTGATATTCTGCTTTAACAATGGTGATGTATTAAAACTACTCCCCTATTTGCAATGTAAACAATCTTCATGAACAATGGCTATCGTCTGGCCAACACGGACGCATCTCTTGGTGTATTTGTCAGCTGCGGTCTACCCGTGCACCGTCACGTAACCACCCGGTGCACTGCAGTACCAAGCTTTACTTCATGGTAATCGCACATGGCAGTGATCGTGTAGCTCAACAATTATCAGTCAGTATCGATGTCCGTGGTTTACTGACCTGATCCTGAATACTGTCGTCAAGAAAATTATCCCAAATCCCCACCCTACTCAACTCAGGAGACAGGTCATGTGACCTGATTCCTTTGTTCTGTTAGTTAGCTTAAGAGGGCCCTAGTGTACCATCTCCAAGATTTTGTCCTTTATTTCTCCAATGTGGATTTTTATTTCATTTACCAGTGTAACCATTCCACTTTTGGAATATCATCTACATATCAGCTCACCTTGTAATGCACAGTAAGTGTTACGGTTTATACATTAGTACTGTATTATTCACTTTATTATTACTGTTTGTACATTTAAAAAAATATTTGTTTGCACAGTAATTGTAAATAGAATATGTAATTGTAAACAGAATATTTTATGTGGTAGCCAAAGGCATGGTAAGGGAGTATGTTCGTTGGTTGGAATAATGAGGAATAATCTGAACATACTGAAAAGAAAACGAATGAATAATTGACTACAAAAATCCGGAAATTGTTGAGTAAAGTAAAAATATTCCAAACTCAATTAACAAATTTTTTGGTAATTTGAGTGACCCAGAGCCCCTTCTTTTTTATTTAATGAGGGTATAGTGTATCGTGTTAAATGAAAAGTGATATAGCCTGTGTTTGTCAAGTACAGTGGAGTCTCGATAATTCGTAAAATATAAATTCGCGTTCTAAAATGCATAGGCACCTCTATTACTACCTCTTTTTATTTTATTTTGCTGTCAAATATTCTTAATTCGTGGTTAATCGCTAACTGTCGCATTGTTTGTTTACATAAGAAACCATAAAAGTTGTGGAAATATAATTTCATTACTGTACTCTTATTTGCTTTGGAAATAAAGAAAATATAATATGAATATCACTTCAATGCTCCAGTGTGACTTAGAAATAAAGAAAATATAATATAAAACTAAAATAAGAAATATTAAAATAAATAAGCAAATTAATTGTGGAAGACTGGGCGGGTTGCTGGTGGACTGCATTCCCTCTCCTCCTGTACCCGAGCCGAGCACGCCCCTCTGACCTCATTAATACAACATTATGCAATTTCACCATAATTCCCGTATTATTTAGGTTCACTAGATACCGGATAATACAACATCATGGACAAAAATCCCATACACAGCCCCAGAGAAGTTAGTGTGTACAGTATGTATTAAATTTGTGGTTCTATGTTGACATAATGTGGTGACAACCAGCCCTGCACCTCACTGTCTCTATACTGTACAGTATTGTTGTATTGGCATAACCCACACCAAATTTTGAGATGGTTACGGAAGGGATGTGTCCTTGAAAATTTTTCCGTAACTTGGGGCCAATTTTCCCATTGACTCCCATTATATAATTGGAGATGCATTCCCTAGGAAATATTTTCAACAAAGTTACATAATACAAGCACACACATATGAATATAAATCAATATGTTTAAACACATACATTGATTACTTCATGATGTAACATGATAATAAATGCACACAACACTTATATTTAACTCACCACAAACAAAGTTGAGTGCTGTGTGAAGTGGTGAGGTGAGGTGGGGTGGTGTGATCAGAGTTACTTGGAGTTACCTCCTTAAAACATCATGTATAATGTCCAATATAATTCTTTTATAGGATCTTTTAGCACCACTTCTTTCACTTGAACTTGATGGCTTCTTTCCACTCATCTTGAATAAGGGTACACAGTAACACAGGCCTGAACACAGGCAAAACTGAACAAGCTAGGGTTTGAAATCGAACTGAGCCGTCCTCAACCGTATTGTAGCAACTACCAAGAAATCCGCATGAAATAAATTTTATAATTTCGGTGAAATTTTTTGTTCTATACTGTACTGACATTTTTATGCTTGAAAAATTACAACTTTACCTAAATTCCGTAAGGGAGAATTTTTTGGCCCTGTCCGAGGGGATACCTGTAATATGGAACTATTTTTATTTTATTATTATTTTTTACAATATCCATGTGTTACTGTATTATGTACAATGTTTAATGTTTATTAAAGACGTATTGGAACAATTTATGATTATTTCTTGGCTTTTGGAACCAAACTAATTATTTTCATTAAAATCAATGAAATTACAATCGCAATTTGATAATTCACGATGTCTTTTGGTACCTAACCCACAAATTATTGAGACTCCATTGTATGTCCAAAACTGTAAGCCCTGATAGTTTTGTGTGTAGCTTGTTGCATCAATTGTAATGGAAAGTATATGATCAACAGATCTTTCTAGGTAGTTAATATGCTACATAATTCATCAGCCTCTTTTTATTTATTTTTTTTAGGGTGCAGGAGCTGCTAAACTCAAAAAGCCAGGATGATACTCCACAACAGAATACTAAAATTATCTTTGATGATGACAGTGGTATTAGTAGCAGTGACCTTGAGTTGCAGATGGAAAATGAGAAAAAAGAAGAAAAACAAGGCAGCATCCCTGAACAAAGTAAAGAAGATAACAAGAAGGATAAAGGAAAAAATATGCAAAAAGTAAAAGTAAAAGGCAAAAAGAGAAAAAGGCCAGAAGAGAATGATGATGAAAGTCAGGGAGAGGAATTGCTGGATGTTAAGAAAAAGAAAAAGAAAAGAAAAGAATATGACATTGAAGAAGACATTATTGATTTGATTACTGACAGCATGAAAGGCAATAAAAGTAGTTCTAAAAAAAATAAAAAGAGAAAATGTCATAGTGTGGGTGAAAATAATGAGAGTTCAGACTTGAAATTTGGGATTGAAGAAGAACAGAACAACAGAGAAAATGTGAAACATGATGGTGAGGAAATGTATATGCCTTCTATATCAATGGTGGATAAGGGTAGTGTAAAGAAATCAAGGGCTAGCAGTAAAATTCTTAAGAAGAAAACAAAATCTCAAAAGTTGGATGAGAGTAACACAAATTTAATGTCAAGTAAAAAGTCAGAGAGTCTAAAGGAGACTGAATTTGATTCAATAAGTAATCCTAAAAAATTAAAGGCCAGGCATACATCTACTAAGCAGAGAGGGAAATCTACCAATAAATTCTTATCTGAAGAGTTGGAAGAGAACCGTACATCGATTCCAAAAATTAGCTCAAAGTCACCCACAAAGAAACGGCCATCTTCAGGGAAATCTAAAAAACACAAAGCAGAAACATCACCAGAAAGCAGGAAGAGTGGGAAAAAAAAGAAGACATGAATAAATATACTGTACTGTAGTTAGTAAATAATTGACATTATTTTAACTTAATATTTGTTGAAAGTTTATTTCAATATCTTGCTAATATTGTTTTTTTTGTGTTAAAATGAATTTCTGACACCAAAAGTTGGTGCTATAGAATTAAAGGTTATAAATTGGATCCTATAATATAATTTATAAAATCATCTTATTTGTTTACGTCTTATAAAATACAAGAAAGTCCAGAGTTACAACAGGGATGTGTCCATCAATTTACAATCCCAAGTTGACTCATTGTATCTTGGAGCCTTATTGTCCATTCACCTGATGCTATAAATTGAAGATGCATTCCTGCATTCCCCCAAAAAAGTAATAGCAATATACTGTACCATTAATTTATAACAAACTAATATTAATAGAATTTTTAAAAGAAGGCAGTCAGTGGCACGGTAGCAAATGGCTTGACAGTAACAGCACCATGATACACCGACCTTATCAACAGGTGTGTAGATTGCATTTTGGAGGAAATTTTTTTTTATTAAATTTTTGAAATCTTGATCACGTTTTTTTTTACTTTGCCCATATTTAATTTTAAAAAGTTGTAAATTTGGATCAAACATCACTGAACTTAATTCAGGTCATAATTTTAGAAGTTTTACATGTGAATTATCACGTGTCACAGTTGTAACACTGGTCTTGATTGTATGTGTAATATGTTGTTACTTTTCTCCCCTCCAATAGAAAATTATAATGAAAATAATTGAGTTTCTTTACCATGATATGCCCCAAGTTCAAATGTTTAACAGGAAATCAGATATTTCAGAACTCATCGTACAGTTTAAAAGGAATGTTTAGAACGTAGTTTATCGGTGACTGTACAGTATAAACAATTTTGAAACGCTCTTGAGCGATAGACTCGGTGAGCTGGGCGGCTAGACCAGGACCACGAGGTATGTGGCTGCCACTCCAACCCTGAAAGTCTTTCGTGATGAATTGCCAGAATAGTAGAAAGCCATACAGGAGACCCTGTTAGCCATACAGTATAGTCAGGTCCAGTCCTACCCATTTGGGTGAAATGGTGGCATGAGGTGACTTCTCTTCTCCCTTCTCCACCTCCATTCTAATTCCCATCATCATCATCAACCAGGAGCCTTCTACATGCACACCTCAAAGTAAGTGTACTTTACTGCATTTCTTTTTCGTTTGTATGTAATTTTCGGTGAGCTGGAACCAATTACCCAAAAACCCATTGAAACAATGGTTTCGGTTAACGAATTTTTCAGTTAACGAGCAACCTTCTGGGACGAATTGTGCTTGTTAACCGAGGGACCACTGTATATTTGTTTTTGAACAATTACTGCATTAATGTAGCTTAATGGATTTCTTGTTATATTGAAGTATCTAGTATGCCATACAAGGATGACCTCCTCCAATCCTACCTCCATCTCTGGCTGTTGCTCATATGGCCAGCAGGCATACCAACTTATGATGATGCACTAGGGATCATATCAAAGCATTTCGTCTCGCATTTCAAATTGTAGCAACGGAAAATCTAACGATACTTATTGGGGGACTGTACATGGGCGAAAATTAACAATAAATAACAGTAAACCTAACCTGTAAAAAGGTTAAGAATCACTTTTGAGTTTATGGGTCCGTCCTCATCTGAACACCGAAATCACCACCACCACAAAATATATTAGGGAAACCTACTGTACTTTTGTTAGTAGTTTTCGTGGTCAACCGAAAGCAAATCTATACCCTGTTTTTCCATGGTGTACCAGAAAGCTGTACATATCTTGTTGGTGTTTAGTAAATAATAAACCTAAGCTTTCATTTAATTTTGAATTATATATATTTTATATCGCAATTTTTTTTACTTAGCGAATGTTCTTGATCCCTATTTTGCAACATAACTCAAGTTTACTGTATACATACATTATATGTGTGAACCTTGGTTCAGTATACAAAAATTTTAATATGAAGCAAAAAATATATTGTGTAGTACCTGTACTTGTAAATTTGGTTTTGTGACCTTAGTGTAAATGAGGTTTACTATACATCAATCGTCTCTCTCTGTCACACCTGTACAGCAAATGTGACATCGTGCAACACCTGCCATCTAGCAGCTTATAGGTCTTAAAGCCTTGACTGCTTTGTCAGTGTCAAACATGCCAAGGTATCTGTCCACTATTTTAATTAATTTCCTAGCTAACAGTCCAAGAGGACAGATGTTTCAAACTGGCAAGGCTAAGTGCCAGCCCCTTTTACACACCTTAGGAACATGCTAAGTAGCATTTGTTGCAATACTACAGAATAAGGTGAATAATTGTGTGGACTTTTCATATCATAAGTTTATTTACACTTGTTACTTACTCTTCCAAGTCAGCATACACGAAGTGGTTAATCTTGGCATGAACATTCGTTGACTTTCCTTAAATACTGTACCCCAGTCGACATATTTTGCCGTTTGTTAAATTATGAAGGTCAAATCTAGCTCCAGGCAGATTGTTTTGAAATAGCAGAGGATAACCAAAGGCTAGTGAATGCTCTGAAATACTATTATCCCTGTAGGATGTGCCCAATATGTGGACAATTTCTTTGCACAAGTCTGTCAACTAGCACAAAAAGGTGTTTTGATGGACTAACAACTACTTTTCAAAAGTGGTCAATTTTGAAATCACCCTATACCCACTAAATCAATGGTACCCCCAGGTGAATTGGATTATTAATAAAATATACAAAAAGAAAATAGGTAGCTCAATAGCTTTGCACCTGGGGGTACATAACACTACATCCGTGTGAAAAAAGTATGCTCACACCTGGGTTTGATATTTTGTGCTTGTCTCTAGGATGTGTTCAATATTGTGTTTATTATCATGGTTATACACTCACTATAGAAAGTACAGTATTTGCAAGGTGGAGTCTGATGGATGTCAAAATGAACAATATGACAACTGTCTCGATCGGGTAGTCAAAATCCTTTGTTGTCATATTGTCTAGCACAAAATTTTTGCAGACACTTTTTGTAGCAAGTATACATTGTAGAATTTTATCACTGTAACCATGTTACTGTAGGAAATAAGCTCAATAAGAGGAAAAACTAATTATGACAATGAAAGTCAGGTGAAAGTGAGGTTGTCAAAACTCACATACAAATACTGTATGTAGCTTGAGGGCTATGGGAGCAATGAGAAGTTACTACTGTACCACCAATTAATATGTACTGTACTGCATAATTGCTTGGAACAGGCATTCAGCAATCTTTTTTTCCTCTCGAATGACTTCTCTTGCTGTGCTACAGTATTGCTGGAATGAAGAGCAAAAGTTTTTTTTTACCTAAACTTGCTGGAATATCCAACTAAACCAACGAATGTCATGCTTTCCAGTCGTTCATGTGCAATTTTGCTATGTCCATCCCCCTCATTTTTAGTCCAGTACGGTTCTCTAATGTACTTTTTTCACCTCATCCTTCTTTGGTCTCTCTTCTCTTACCATCCACTCAGTTGTATATATTTTACCACTCAATATACCTCAACACCCATTATAAATCCTGGTTAGCTCAGTCCAATGTATTTTGTTTCAATATATATTTATATATATATATATAATTTTTTTTTTTTCATTCACTTCTAATTTGAAGTTTCCTCATGCATTCTAAGTCCATGTCTCACTCCCCTATAGTAGTGATACAGGGTAGTTCATTAATTTCTCTACTTATCCAACTTTACTTCCATTGTCTTTCTTCATACACCTGTTACTTCCATCCCCAGTTACTTTATTTAATTCCCTATTGTTCCACTAACCAACACTTCACTCCCAGATATTTGGAACATCCCTTAGTCCATTCAAGCGGTCTCCTTTATCAACTGATCTTCACATACACTTAATTTTCTACTAGTACAGGGGGTCCTCACCATGGGCTTCCGCAGAAAAAAAATGCGGGGGGGGGGGCAATGTTATCCTGAATTCGATGTGTGAAGACATCATTGACAATTTTGGAAGAGATCCCCGACGGCTCCAATTCCTGTTCCAAGAGTAGTAACCTGCTCTAACTGAATGAACTGTTGAGAAATGTTTGTTATTTTATTCATTTTGTATTTTCCATGTAATTTTTTCAAATTTTTTATTTTCCAGGGGGGGGCAAATGCCCCCCCTTGCCCCTCCCTGCGGACGCCCATGGTACTCGCTTAATGTTGGGGTTACGTTCCTAAAAATGCGACATTAAAAGAAACAACATTAAGTGGATAAATTTTCCCCATAAATAGATAAAATACGGGAGTTATGTTCCTGAGCCTCCCTTTGCCCCATGAAATACATTGCATATACAGAAAATCATTGCCATTTCTATAGAAAATAGTGCATACATATACAACTTCTAAGTTTGTATTGGTACTCGCCAATGGGCGGAGGTGGTAGAGCGATTGTGTGGTGGGCAGTGAAGCAGAGGAGGCAGATGGCGGGAAGGGAGGAGGGTGGCGAGTCACGGAGACTGCGCCAAGCCGAGAGAGGGTGATGCACAGTAAAATGTAGTCTATGACGACGCCAAACGACGTAGTATCTGATCACCTGGACGTTAAACAAATTTTGGGTCTTTAAAGTTTAGCGACGTAGTACCAAAACGTTAAGTTGGACGATGTTGTACGAGTATTTACTGTATACACAAAAGTCCACTCATTCACTAACATTTGTATTTTCTGAATTGCTGCAAGTGTCATCTGATACACCGCCCATTTTCAATCTAGAATCTTTATTACCATATGTATGCTCTTCTCGTTTTCATTTATCACCCAATTCATGAAAATACTGAATGACCATTACAACATTAACAATTTGAGAAGACCTCTTTCACTGGGAACCAATATCCCTCAGATTTACATGCCAACACATATTTCACTCTCCCTGCAAGTCCAAAATGGCATTAAACTTTCTTATCTCAAATTTTTAACACACTACAGCAGTACTTCCAACATACTCTTCAAAATTTGTTAGTATACCTGAAGAAAATTATCACTCCAACCTGACCTGGTATACAGTACAGTATATTAAAGTCCACATCACCAGCATAGGTCTTTATATTGAAAATCTTGGGATTGTGCAAGAAATTTATTATACAAAATATATGAACCAATGTCAAATATTTCACAATTACAAATCTGAGACTTTAATAAAAATTATACATTACCAAATAACCATTCCCCATACAGATCATTATCACAGGCTTAACAGATTTTCAGACAAGACAGAAGTATAGGAGAGACAATATTTAGGCACCATACTGACTAATGACTTGTCAGAGGTTCAGATTAAATTTCAGGTAATCCAGGTAATGGGAATTTCCTTGCATAATCTTCTACCTTTTCTCTGAGGGCAGTCACACGAGCCTTAAACTCTTCCTCGTTCAGGACCCGCTTGAAATCCACCAACTTGGGTCCGGATTTATCTTGTACAGTTTTTGCAATCTTGAAGGCTAGAATAAATTTTGAAGGTTATACACACTATAACATGCTCATGTATATGTTGTACATTATTGATAAAAATGACCCACATCATTTAACCTTAACTGCCATTCTCTTTTTAATATTACACAAAAGGGCCTACCAAATTCATTACCAAAATCATGTCACTTTCACATTATGTTTATTAAACCATGAAAATTAATGTTTATCCATGCTCTCGACTTAATTTGAGGGTAACTTGCTCCAGTTTACATAACTATGTACGTACAGTACTCCACCTTCATTTTTGGGGTCCTATAGTCAGTTCTATCACTCATGCCTTATGAAATTATGCCCCATACGCCTAATGGCCTTCTTGGGAAAATATGGATATAGCATGCTGTATATAAACCTTCATTACACAAGGAGGCATGGTCTCTGCACTGCATTTAAATGCCATACTACCTTAATTGTTAAGTTATGTACCCATTTACACTTGGGTGGACTGGGATCAAACCACCAACCCTTAGAGCAGGAGGCAAGCACTGGACTCACTCATTTCCTTAACATTACTTTGACATCTTATCAATAGTCGTCCTCTGCACAGTACTTATCTAGACCACCTCAGGATATATCTCCTTGTTTGCTACAATTCCAAATCTCGTAACTTCTGCTTTCTCAGCCATCCTGTGTACATGCTTGCAACGTTCTAATAACACATACCTTAGTATCTTTAATTTCAGTAGCCTAAATTCTATACTGGTATGGTATGAAAGAACAACATTGTCTCGGTTCTCTCATAGATATATACTATTCGTTTCTTTAATCCTAATGCACCCAAATCCTTAACAAGAAAGTTGTCATTCGTGTAGAGATTGTAATTGTAGCTCCGCCACCGATAACTTTTGAACTTATTATAGTTAAGTGTTTACGTCCTACATTTATGTCCTATACAGTACAGTACGCCCGCATAATTTGCGGATTTTTATTTTGCGGTCCTCTAATATTCGTGGATGACACCCTGGATGTACCCAAGACTGTCTGTGGGTAGTTTTAAAGTTGCCATCACTTTTGCGGCTGGGACAAGGAGACATTGGTTCTAGAGACCCTAATTTCCTGTACTGTACCTGTAATGTAACTGGACATGAACTGGAACTGAAACCGAACCACCCAGCTCCGGACCTCCTGATTCCTTTACCTGTATTGTATATATATATGTGTGTCTGTTTTGTGTGTGTGTGTGTAAACACACACACACAAAACACAAATAAATAATAATGGGAAAATCCTTAACAAGAAATTTATTAAAAATGTGAGTCTACTCCATGCTTTATTAATAGCAAAGCACAGAGTAGACTTGAGGTTAGACTCACATTTTTAATAAATTTGTTTCTGATTATTTGTGAGAATTTTCCCATTTTATATATAATGGGAAAATACTCAAATAATCGGAAACAAATTTATTAAAATTGTGAGTCTACTCCATGCTTTATTAATAACAAACCAGGTAAAAGAAATAATTGTCCTAAGGGCAAACACACAAAGGGAATATACATTTCTTTGTAAACAAGTAAAAATGTACCCAGCAAATGTTATTCGCGGATTTGGCGACTCGCAGACATTTTGAGAACATAACCCCCACGAATTTGAAGGACCTACTGTACTGTACCATCTCTTCCTCTCCCTCAGTTTCATGTTAGTCACTTCCACTAGGCCATCAAATACTGTACTGTACTGGGTCTACCAGGCCAGAGACAAAACCAAACACCAATTATCTTTTGAAATCTAGCCAACCATTCACCTGCATCAAATTAGGGACAAGTGATCAGGTCTTTTACTCATGAACACGGCAAAGCATCAACCTAACTGAAATCCAAGGCTATTCTTCTAAAAACCCAATAACCACGAGAGTCCTAACAAGTAATTTCCATCACCCGAAAAATAGCTACAACAACCGAGGTTCCTACTGTAGTAGCCTCTGGGGAGAAAACCTCTTGTTTAAATAAAAAGAAAGATAAAGTTGCAGTAAGAATGTAGTGTTCTTCAACCAAATAAGATCAAGGTCAAGTAAATCTCTTCTTGTACCTAGCCTGTATTCATTTATAATTTGTCATGCTGTCTAAGCTACTGATCTGAACTCAGCTATTGAAGTAAATTATGGAATTCAAAACTTAAAAACCTATAATTCCTACCTTCATCCATGAATGTCACTATCTGTTTGAAGTCGTTTTCCTTCATGCCCCTCGTAGTGAGAGCTGGAGTCCCTATACGAATACCGCTTGGGTTCAATGCTGATTTATCACCAGGAACTGTGGGACAAATAATAATAACAAATGTAAATCTGATTGATTAAGGCTAGCATACTCTGTCCAAGAAAAAAATTCGAATTACAAATGAAATAAGATACACAGTATATTTAAGAAGGCAAATGGACCAAAATTTCCTCTCACCTGTGTTTTTGTTGCAAGCTATGGAGACATCTTCCAGAATTTTTTCAGCTTTACCACCAGAAAGCCCCACACACCTCATATCAACCCACACTAAGTGATTGTCAGTACCTCCAGTGACAATCTTGTAGCCAGCAGCTTGCAAGCCTGCAGCAAGTTCTTGTGCATTCTTTATCACCTGCAATGGACATCAGCTTCAACATTACATAGTTATTTAGCGCATGTAAAAACTGGTGTTGTACATTACTTGTACATTAACTAATTTACAATAATACAGGGAAACGGCATTCCTCTTCCTACCTTAAGTAGTATTCTTTTACAATACTGTATATCTTACATATAGTGTACAGTACTGTGTACAATTCTAAAAATGGGTCCCATGGGCCTGATGGCCCAATAGGGACTGTGTTGAATACTAAATTTCCAGTCTACAAAAAAACAAGTGTTTTTGGCATTTTACTTTACATTATAGCCTGCACCTCTTACTGTGAAGTTAGGTACAGTGTCCATTTGGAAGCCAGTGTGGCATCCACTAGGCTACTACACCCTAGTATGAAGTTCTGGTTAATGACTAACAGTAAGTAAAGGAATACTGACCAAAAATTAAGACAAATTTGCAAACACTTTGTTACTAGTCACTTAATGTTCACCCGAAATATGACAATACATTTGCCGAACTGCCAAATTACTGGCAATTAAAAGTTCTCTCCTATCTATTCTGGGAGATTTTAAAGTTTCTAACCTGTTTCTGATAGTCTTTAAATGAAGGATCAGCAGCCTGTCTCATAGCAACAGCAATGCCAGCTATTTGATGATTATGGGGTCCTCCCTGAAGCCCTGGGAACACTGCCTGGTTGATTTTGTCCTCATAGTCATACATGATTGGTTTCCCAGTTTTATCCACACCTTTCTGCCCTGTAGTTGTAAACATGCAATTTATGAAATGAAGAAATACTTCAAATTAGACAAGAAGTGCAGTACAGAGTTATGAATGAACACAAGTCAACCTTCAGAAATGCTTTTCTGTTTAAAAAATACAGTACCATGTACTGTATAATGAATTTCATTATCCTTTATATCAAATTTTGGGTACATAATCATGCATACAGAACTGCTATAAATTTAGCACAAGATATTTCACGACCATACCTCTCCTAAAGAAGATCACTCCACTTCTTGGTCCACGCAGTGTTTTGTGCGTTGTTGTGGTTACTACATCACAATATTCAAAGGGGTTTGTAGTTAGGCCAGTGGCTACCAGCCCACTCACATGTGACATGTCTGCCATCAGAAGGGAACCATTTTCATCACAAATCTCTCTGAACCTTTTGTAGTCTAGATGACGAGGATAACAACTGACACCTGAAATGGAATTCAGTATATTTTTAGCTCATGACCTCTCCTTGTTTGAGAATTATTCACAAGTTATACATACTAATTACCCAATTGAAATATTAGTTATTTTTTCTCATGGGTTCACCAAAAGAACCTATGTATTACACATTTTCATATGTAAAAATTTTTTTTTCATGTTATCTCAATACTGTACTATACACTTCATTCTACAAGATGTACTCTGATCACAATGTTCTTTACAGAAACCTGGCTCAAACCATGATTTGGGGTTGGGTGTACAGTCTTTTAGGTCAAGGTGCTGGAGTATGCTGAACCTTTACACCTGGCCAATGAGCATGCCTGATTGTGAATAAGTTTAACCTTGTGTATCAAATTCAGTAAGATCATTAACAAGCATAGTCTTCTTCCCAGGTGTCATGCACTTCAAGGGCACCCTAACTCTAGGCTAGATCAATCCCACAGATTTTTTTTTTTAACCAGAAGAGTAAAATGATTAGAAATAATTAATGACATAAGAGCCTTACCTGCAATTATGAGCCTTGGTTTGAAAAGCTTAGCAGTCTCCTGCAGCTTGCCATAGTCAATTAATTCTGTCTGCAAGTTAATCTTGTAGGGCATAGATTCAAAGAATATTGAAGTAGCAGACACCTTTCTAGTAGCTGTGTAAAACCCATGTGTTAGATGACCCCCATCGGGAAGATCCAAACCTGAAAGATAAAAGAATTCTTTAATCCATACCCAAGAGTCATCCTTTGCACAAACCCTTTCATTTCATTTTTCCAATTTATTGTACAGTACAGGTACACCACCGATTTTCCGGCACCCGTGATTCCAAAGCCTTGCCAGTTTTGCCGGACCAACCGAGGTCAGGTAATAATAATTCAACAATACACTCAAATGTACTGTATTACACTAGACTAAAAATTGTATCTATGTGATGTTTATACTCAAATTAATCACAATATTACAAGGATTCCAGCAATGTAAATTATATTCCTTGATATTTTATCATAAACTTTAAGCCTAAACTACCTTCACCCTGGCTGTGAGGAAGGGGAGGAGGGGGAGGGGGGGTTGACGTGTTGACAGCTGTCAAGGAGGGGAGATAACAGCTAAAGAACTGATACAAGAAATAAAGTACAGCATTTTGTAAAACCCAAGTACCTGTACTGTACTATACTTATGCTAAAGTACCCAATCTGAAATGACCAAGTCAATAAAGTAAGAAGCTTCATTCTTAAAGTTACAATAATGCTGTGATGAAATTCTGCTACTAGAAGTTAACTAAAAGATACACAGTACTGTACAGTATATGGTACAGTGGAACCTCAAAGACACAACACCTTATTTACCCATAAATATGGATGATTTTCTAAAGTCCCGAATAATTCATGACAAATCTCCACTCAATACAGTACTGAGTGGCTAAGGCAGACACCTCACTAATCAAAAATGTGGACAATATGAAAAGATCAGAAGTTCCAGTAATCAGGACAAGACAGCTTTATTGTCTTGCCCATCAGATAGGTACAGTATTTGGTCACTCAATGTAGATACACAGCCAAGCAGACAGTAAATTGAAGTCAAGATTTTACTAACACTAACCTTAACACTGATTAAGGCCATGGAAATGAGAGGGGAGATGAATTAGCATCTGGGAGCTCAGGTCAGATTACTGTAGTTCATGATCATCACTCATCATATTTTATGGACATTTTCCATGCATGTGTGGGTTAGCCATACAGTTATGCATACTAATAGTGCAGGTCAATCAAGGTCCAAATATCAAGTACACTCATAGTCAAGTACAGTATAACAGTATGTATACAAGCCTCTCTTTTCTGGGTAAACATCTTCCTACATGATTAAAAGGCTACATCCAACTAGTCATGCACTCCACTCCTATTTAAAATGTATGAAGATCTGATGAGGTGCCAGACTCTTCTACTTTAAATTATTTTCTTTTAATAAAATGTTAATAAAGCCAATACCTCTAGTTTCTGTATACTGTACGGCTGTACTATACCGTACCTGGGGACCATTCTATAATCATATTCCGTTTTTATTTCCATTTCTTTCCATCAACACACATCTTGCAACATAAAATGTAAAGCATACAATAACTCTTCTTATTCAGTTTGATTATACATCTATTTTTACTCCATGGTGTACTAAACAAGCCTAGCTTGAGTGTGGGTCACTTGTCAGTTACACTGTTCTTCAGCACACTCCTGTCACCTCCTCAAGTTCATGACAAATAAAAACCTGTATTTACCCATAATGCGCCCATGGGGTTCAACAAGAGCTGTGTAGACTGCAAAGTTGGCTGGAGATCCAGAGTATGGTTGAACATTGACACCCCACTCTTCTGGTTTCAGCCCAAAAGCCTTTAAAGAACGCTGCTGACACAGACTTTCCACCTCATCTATATGCTCATTCCCGCCATAATATCTGGAAGGGTAAATACTTTATATATTTTTTTATCGGTTACCAATCATATGATTACCGGACTCCAGGATTAACAAAGTCTGTGTGATTTTTTAAATTGGAATTATATTAAGTGATTAAATTGACAATACAGGTACAAGTAGACCTGGATTTGCGAGAGGGTTACCCGTATGTTAATGAAAAAGTCTCAAACAAATTTTTCATAAATCTATGCACCAGGGTGGAGGGTTAAAAGATTTAGAGCTTGGAGAGCACTCCTTTGAATCACTAAATATATTAATGCTTCTGTTCTGAAGGGTGATAATCACCTACAAGGCCAGGAGTTGATAATGACAGTAAAAATTTAAGCAGCAATAGAGATCACACCAATTCGGGTAAAAAATTTAAATACAATACACATCCAAGACGGATGGCAGCATCAGATGCATGTTCCCAATTCAAGAAATTTTGGTTCCTGGTGGGAATGCTCTAACGTTTACTATTTACAGTGACCCCTCGTTTAACGAACACCTCGGTTAACGTAATTTCGATTAACGAACTGCCTTCCATAAGGATCTTCAATTCGGTTAACGAAGTTCTTACGAACTGACCTCAACATGTTTTCGCTTGCACTGACCGGGCAACCAGCTTTAGTATCAGTCCGCCAATACATTAATCGGTTCTAGGGCTTAAATTCCTTACTATTTTAGTATATATCAAGAAGTTTATACTATTCAATAATTTTAAAAGTTTAATATTCAATTTTTTAGTCATTTTAACAATTATTGAACATAATTGAAGGTAAAGTGACTAGTTTAATGAGCGGCATCCAGCCTCTCAACACAGCAAACAGGAGTTAGTCTCTCTGTTTTCACTGGAGGTAACATCTTGCTTGAGACTCTCTTCAACTAAACGCTTTTTTTCTGTGTTTCCAAGCAAATTATTGGTCATTTTGAAATATATTTTACATATTGACAATGCAGTGCAGTGTTGATTTAAAGAAAATAATCTTGAATTACACCAGAGAGCTAAAATTTTATGGGTGAAATGGCACCATGGAGTGACTTCTCTTCCACCCCAATGCCTTCTCTTCTTCCTTCTCCTCCACCCCCATTCTAAATCCCATCATCATCCAGGAGCCTTCTACATACACACCTCAAAGTAAGTGAACTTTTCTACCATTTTTGTTGAATTTAGGAAATTTTCGGTGAGCTGGAACCAATTACCCAAAAACCCATTGAAACAATGGTTTCGGTTAACGAACTTTTCGGTTAACGAACGACCTTCTGGAACGGATTGAGTTCGTTAACGGAGGGGTCACTGTATTTTATTTTGCTTTCACAACTTTCATACAAGCACAATAATGACAAACAAGTTTAACAATGAGGATAAGCAAGTCAGGATGCCTTACCTCTGGCCAACCATGCCCTCCGAGTACTTGTTGGTGAGGCAGGAAGACAAACACTCATTAACTGCACGTGATGTAAAGTTTTCCGAAGCAATCATTTCAAGCCCACGGAACTGACGATCCTGCAAATTATGATTGCAACTAAATTTCATGGAAATTCCTTTAATGTATTGGTTTTATAGAGCATGTACTGTACTAATGAAAATTAATATTTTTTTAATTACAGGTACTGTATATACTATATATATATATAACTCACCTTCTCTCTCTTGAGAATCTCAAAGACCTCAGGATCATCTGCAGACAAGGGTCTACTGAGTGGATAGTCAGCATTAGTAACTCCCTCCATCCTGAAATTAAGTTAGGATTTTTTTTATTGTCGGTATCATTTCAAAATGACATCATTATACTGGGATTATCAGTAATGATTAATTGACATTCAACTTATAAAAATGATGATGATGTATATTGGTGCTAAGTTGCACAAAGTAACTGGTAACCTACACTTGGGTAGACAACAAATGTGGATTTTTATTTTATTTTATTGATATTGAAAGTTTATTCAGACAGAGGAAATTCTACAGTATAACCTACATTTTGAAGAGCTGTGGGTTTATGAATAAATGGTAAATTCTGGGAAAATTATTTGACAAAGGGTGTTAACAATCACATCGCCCCATCCTCCCTCATCCACAGGAACCCCCCACCAATTTACCAAATTTCTAAATTATAGTTACTTGTAATTATTAAAAATCCTTACAATCAACGATGATAGCTGAAAGCAACTACGAAACACTTTATTAAATGACCTCGTCTATCATCTCTATGAATTTTCACTGGTCAAACAAACAAAATAGTGGAGACTGGGAGCAGAAGATCCCATCAACGACACAGGGTGCGTGACCTTCAATAAGATGTCAGGACACATAATTTGCCCATCACGGACACAACGATGTTACCAAAGGAACAATGTTATTCAAGATCATGACTTCCACACACAACACAGTGGACGTATGCAACAGCTGACCTGATAGGCAGGTACCTTACGTGTTGACGTGAGACTGGACTAACACTGCGGGTTTAGACGTCATTATCATATTAGACTACGCAGAACCTTGAATACAACTAGGTCGCCATCTCTGGCATCAAATGCCAATAAAGAAGAACTGAATATTCAAGGGTAGATAGCCACCACATGTGATCGATCATGTATGTAAAATGTTAATTTCTAAACTCGTACAATTCGCTTAAGTGATACTTAAACCATTTATCCCTGAATACAGAAATACATATTGAAAAAATTATCAATCAGGATGAAATCCAACCACTGAAATTGCCTACTGTCGTTCAGACTGCTTCATATAGTTTAAGTTAGGAACAAGACAGTTGTGTCGTGAAAGCTACAGGAGGAACAGGTTTAGTAAATGATCATTTCATCAATGCATTACAAAAAATATCCTGTCAAGTGCTAGTGTACGATAAACTTTACAGAAAACGGCGACACTCTTTTAACAAGAATCTCCCTGCAACAGCATTAACATAATAAATAATTGCTTTACTAAAGATAAACAAATAATAAACAATTGCAACACTAAAGATAAACAAAGTCACTGAACAAGTATAGGAAAATTTTATATTGTCTACCCCTCACTTATAACACATTAAAATCATTGTACTAGTTTTGAGAAGCACTACCAAATCATAACATACATTATTCAAATTAGCCTTCATTAATTTACTAAACAGAGTATATATATATATATATATATATATATATATATATATATATATATATATATATATATATATATATCTTAAAACGACGTGCAAATTAATTGTTACACAATATCGAGGTCCCACCCCTGTTCACAAATTGGCGCCAAAGGCAACACACGAACAAATCGTCTGTTACCATAGATAACAGTCTACCAAGTACACCGCTTCGAAACCGAAGTAGTAACATATACGGACTTCTGTATACCGAACTTATTGAAAGTAACATTTATATTAATATATAATCTATAATACAAGGGTACTCACTTATTACAGTTGTAGATTCCAATACAATCCTGCCAACGGTCTACTCGAGAGAGATCAGCTGTGTATAGCTCACTCGGTTATATAGGCTCGCCTCAGTCACCCAGCCAATCAGTGCCTGCCTTGGCGGTGACGTTGTTTTGTGGGAATTTCAAACGTTTGTATTACTTTACGATAATTATCGTACGTGTATGATAATTTTACCCTCGACACGATAAACGATACCTTTTCATATTATTGTACGATTTGTACGATAATTTAGGTACAAAATCTGAGAGCGCGATAATTGCTTTCCAAAGTTACCAGTTAAGACTTTCACTGAGTGTTTTATTTTGCCGGTCAACATTACCGATACTGGCCTCTGTAATTCCAGAAATTAAGAAAATATATGACTTCAAAGACTTGTAATTCCAAACTGTGTTATCTTACCACAAAAATTGCTTTGCCGTCTGGTTGAGCATCTCAATTGTTAATGTCTATGCTAATTTTTTCCACTTCTTATATTTCTACGATAATCTGTACAACCAGTAAAAAGTGTTTGAAAAAATATTCAGTTTAATATGACTGTCTTGTTCCTTATTACCGTTATAAAGCTTTTATCTAGTTGGAAACAATATCAGTTATGATTTAATTATTTGAAGTTTCATGGGTCTTGCTTCCCACAGATTTTTTAAAATGTCGTACGTGTTACAGTAACTCCGTCAATCAAAGGGTAACTTTCCAATAAATAAAGTTACTTATCTAGAAGTGTAAGATAATTTTGACAGAAACGATAATTTTGAGGATTTAGCACGATAATTCACATCTGAAAAATCTGTCAACACTGCTTTACCCTCGCGCGCCACAGCGCCACTCGTGAGTCGTGACTCGCCACTGATAGGCATGTTAGCTGATTGGACGGTCGGGCACGATTGACTTGTACTGTACTGGCTCCAGAATGTATCTGTATTCTGTACCTGCGCCTGTGTTGGTCAAGTCTATTTTGAATGAACTCACACTCTGTGTCATCACAATTCTCTGGCAGTGGCTGATTGTCCCACTATTGTTTACAATGGTAAGTACGCTTTCTCCTCTTTCCAATTATTATTGCATTTTGCAATGAAATCATGTCAGACCACATGTAACTCTTTTGCAATGGAAAATGGATCTTTTTGGCTTGATGAACTTCAGTTTGCTTTAATAAAAACATTAATTTGGCCCTTTTACTTTATAATTTTGAAAAAATCTCTCTCTCTCTCTCTCTCTCTCTCTCTCTCTCTCTCTATATATATATATATATATATATATATATATATATATATATATATATATATATATATATATATATGCAAGTAAATCACTAGGTGCGCTTGATCCAAGTATAAGCTGATAACCATATATATATATATATATATATATATATATATATATATATATATATATATATATATATAAATAAACCTTTGAAAACCTAAGCTATCCTAACCAATAGACATATAGAAAGGTAAAGATTCGCTTTCGTAAACACCATCACATGCTAAACACAAAAACGGGTACCCTCTTGCCTTAATCCTAGAGTCCTAAATAGTTTTTTATACGTTTCTCTAAAAATATAGATATTTTCGAAATTAGAATGTAAAACTCAGAATAATGTTTTTATTAAAAATGCAGTTCTTCAAACCGAAAAGATCCTGGAAAATATATCCCACCAACGTATGGAAACGAGAATGCACTGAACCTGTCAGAACTTACGTAATCAAACTAACCTAAAGTAACCTACCTAAACCTACATGTACATCTACAGTGTGTGGCAGAAGGGCTGGGCACAAATCACTATCGGTACCAGTAACACATATCAACCACTAACTAGTCCTAAAGATTGTACCCCAGTAAAATGAAAACCTGCCCGAGGCTCGTGTGTTGGTTGATTATGATAAAATATGTATTGGACCCACCCTTAAAATATAGCATATCACATTCATTCAGGCAATGACTTGGAGAAGTGTGTCTCCTTTAAATTGTATTAAGGTAAGGTATAAATGTTTAGTATTGTTCTGTCAGCACAGGAATCTATAGATTCCTACAAAGTTCAAGAAGTCTCCTTCACGTAATCTGGGTTAAATAAAGTTTAAACAATAAACTAAGTAAATATTGAACCAATCAGGAGATATTACACGGAATTTGTCAACCTAGGAATACAATAATGTACCAGTGTTCTTGGAAACCTGCCATCACGTGTTCAGACAGCTTTGAGCCGTTCTCAACGGCACTCACTCCGTTCACTACCAACCTCTATATGTTGACACTCGCTGGCGGTCTGCTGATAAATGTGGTCCTGTGTCTTATCTCACGAGTTGATTCATACATTAATGGGTGAAAATTGCTAATATGTAAGCAGGTAAACTAGAAGTTGCAGCTAGTGGAGTCGGGTTGACTCGGACCAGTTGTACGACTCGTACCCATTATTCATACCGTCTAACCCACCCTGAAGCGGTGGTCAGTGTCTCATTCTCTCTTTACCACAGTCAAAAGTCTCTAGACTATCTCTACCTCTCTCTCCTTTCTTCAATCTAGATCTTTCTGCTCTTCAGCTGAGTATATACTTTCATCCTAACCCCAAAGAGTACAAGAGATTGCCACCACAAGCCTTAAGATTAAGGCTCAGATCTAAGGGTCCCGGATATTCAGTAATAAGGTAACAATGGGCTAAAAGGTAAAACTAAAACCACGCTTTTAATGAAACCTCTTTTCTACTCGAGAGTTGAGATGTTCCAGTTCATCACTTTTCAAAATCTAGCAGTCAGTCGCGAACCCGATGTCCATTTTAAACAAAATGGAACCCTGAGATTCATTCGCGAAAATCCTGTGTTCTTGTATTGTAATAAAGCACTAATTAGTACAGTTGGCGGAAGCACGAACGTTTTTCGTGATGTAGCTCTCACAACACCTTATCACATCAGATGATAACTACTGGTGCTGTAAGTGGGTTGGGCGATTTTTTTTATAATCCCATGTTTCTTATATAAATAATAATAATAATTCCAGGTGCTACTATAGCGTGCGGTCTACAAAGATATCTTTAGTCTAACCTAACCTTACCTGACCTTACCAAATTATACCTTTATAACTTCAACAGCACCAATATGACTGTTGATTTCTAAGTCAAGGGTTTGGAATTCAGGCTATGAAGTTTCAGTGGAGTGTTCCACCCCAGAGGTAACCACGTGCCAATCTGGCGTGCTGCCAATACTCGTCAAAATAGATACGTACTGTACCGTACTGTACTTACTTTTACTTTTATACTCTTCGTGGAGGGTTCCCTGGGTCACGTGACACTGGTGAGATGACATTTGTGTGTTAACTGTTAACTTTCTGTTTATATTATGTATTTTTTTCCATATTTCATTTGTTCGATATATTAAATACTACACCATTATAGTGTCGAATGTAAATTATATATATATGCAAGTAAATCACTGTAGGTGCGCGTGATCCAGGTATATGTGTGTGTGTGTGCGTGTGTGTATTGCCTTTATATAGGCAATATGATGTGCTTCTGTCCGACCATGAGCGAAGTCGTAGCAATGGCTTTAAATTAGACAAATTTAGATTTAGGCGCGAGATAGGTAAACACAGGTTTGGAAACAATATACGGGCCAATAGCCTGCTTCAGTTGCTTCAGTTTCCTCCAATCTTATGTTCTTATGTTTTCTCTTACCGTATTATCAGAAAAATAAAGACAAAAGTGTACAGTTCAGCAGGTGTATAGGTAATGCAGGAGGTATATTATATAAACGTTCTTTGAATTTAATTGAGTCGAACCAAAGTTATATCTCATATATATTTTATAGTTATTGGACTAGTGTATTACTAACCTTGTTACATGCTAAAGATCCTTCGTTGTTGAAGTGCAATCGTAACATAATAAGAAAAAGAACAGAGCCTAACCGCTAGCATTTGTTCGACAAAAGCAGCTTTAAACGTAAATTGTGTGTGTGTGTGTGTTAGTCCCTGGCTGTACGTACAGAAAGTGATGAATCAATGTGACGATTTTAGTGAACATCTATCCATCTAGCGTTGATGTAACAACATTTTTCAATGAAAAATAAAAAATAATGTAAGATTTGTAATCTAGATATAAAATTAATAATGCTTAATATAAATTGTGAGAATAAAAATCATCGGGTTAAATATATGACTAAAACCCAAAGTTAACACATCACCAAAACAATTTACAAGAACTTAGTATTCGTGAGAATTCAGGAATGAGTAAAAGCATCAAGCAAAAGAAGCCAGCTTCAACATTTGTTATTTATTTTGCGAAAATTAATTAATAAACATTAAAAGTCCCGTGCATATTACACACAAGTATTTTTTTATTTATACGGGGGGTAAATTTTTTAAAATATGATATAAAAGGTACGATAACATATAAATATACCTGTATATACTATAGTTGACAACATTTTCCCTCTAACTTCAAATCCGTGAGATTTAGAGCAGCATCGTTCAACATGTCTGAACTGCAGTCATGTAAGTGTTATTTTGCCTGTGTTTAAAAAGGACTTACAATGTTGTGGATTCTAGAGTGTTCATGGACTTACTCTGCTTCATTGTTAATTGTCTATTAGTGCTAAACATTCGTATTTAATAGCATATGTCGGTAAATATTGGGGCGTGGTCACCTGTGGAATCAGTCGAGCTTAATAAACAGATGGCGTTTACCGACCATGAATGTTAGTTAAATGCCTAGACATGTTTCAGTAGGTGAAGTCGCATAGATATATATGACCAAGAAATATCTTTAAACCAGTCTAACGACAAGTGACAACGTGACATCCGTTCGAATTTGAAAAACTGAGAAAATAATTGTCAGACGCCGTGCTAGAAGGATGTGTCCGTTCTCTCTGATAGAATATGTTGTCCGTTTTCTTTGGTGTCTTAATGTTGAGGTAAAACACGCGTAGTAAATTTTACTTTATCTTTTATTTAAACATTACATGTAGAAAATACACTATATTTATAATTTCTCCCTTTTATTATACTACATTTTTGGGATGATTTTACGATAAACGATAAGCACGCATATATAGTGTAGACCTATTGTATGTTATTTCGTATTAGAAGTTTCA